GGGGGAGGGGATCAATGGGGGGAAAAAAGGAGTCAATTGTAATCCTTTCAACAATAAAGTTAAATTAAAAAAAAAAGGAAATGTCTCAGAATTATTATTCTTTTGAAGTGTACTTTGTCTGATACTAATATAATTACATCAGTTTTCTTTCAGGTATATTTTTTCCAACTTTTTATTTTCAGCTTACTTGGTATTTTTGTATTTCAACTGTATCTCTTGTAAGTGGCATATAGTTGATTGATGTTAAAATACAGTCCGAGAATCCCTCACACCCTCTCCCAATCAGTAACCCCCACCAAGGGTAACCACTATCCTTTTATTTTTCTTACTGTGCTATTTTTTTATAAGCAAGATTATTTCTATAATATAAAACATCAAAAGAGAATAGTCTCAAAGTAAGAATTTACTTATTCAAAACCAAAACAATATAACCTTTTGTAGAAACACAAAAATAAGTGTAGGTCCCTAATTCCAAGAGGCTCACAGGCTTATGACTAATTAAAGAACAGAGCTCTGGCAGAAACTTGAATCCAGCGCTGCTAGGGCAAGGGGATGCTGGAGGAAGCGAAGAAAGTTTTTACAGAAACCTAGGGCTTTAAAGGATGTGTTGGAGCTGGCTGCCAACAGTTGCAAAATGTACAAAGGCTCGGGAAGAAATGTGCAAGCAAGCACAAATGAAAATGAAAACGAAAGCGCCTTTGGATACTAGTTTATGGGGCGGCCTGGTTACTGGTTAATTCTATCCGATTTGGCTTCTGTGGCCGTCAATCAGAATGACGTCGTTGCTGATCAGGTTACTCAGACCGCCTGAATCTGCTACCTGTGCAATCAGGAAAAGGAAGCCTGGGGAAACGGCCCCCGGTTGTGCAGGAGGGGAGAGCCATGCAGTGCGCAGAGGCCGGGAAGCCTCTAATTAAATTCAACCACTGCAGAAAATGCATCTACAGCTTCAGCGTGCCCAGACGCTGCCCCCTCTGCCGGCAGGACGTGGGCTCCAGGAAGCTGGAGGAGGCACCTGTGAGCATCTCCAACCCGTTTACCAACGGGCATCAAGAAAAATGTTCATTCCTCCTCAGACCAACTCAAGGGACGTTTCTTAGGTACAGTGTTTTTTGTGTTACATTGAATTGTGCAAACTTTGCTTCTGTGTTGTAGTCACTAAAACCTCCTTTTACAGTGAGGTGTGGTGCATAATTCTTTCGTTTTTTGGGGGTATTAAATTCTAAAAGGTAGGCCTACTTTCCCAGAGCGATAAGTGTATATGAAGGTCAAACCTACATATACAATTTTAAGAGGGAAAAATCCATAGTCTGGAGATTGTTTTACCCATAGATTTTGAGCTAAGAAGCTAATTGGAAAAATTACCCAGCAGCCAATCTCACCAAAATACTTTTATTGTGAGTTTGTAATTTCTGTGACAAACAAGTACAATGTAGAGAGCCTGAAGGATGACCACTTATGGGCTATTTTGCATGGAGGTGAATTAAATCGAAGACTAGAGCTGGTCTATTTCAGTTGCAGGCACCACCTGACTTTAAGATTTCAGAAATCAAAAGAAAGGATTGTACCTCCTTAGAGTCCTCGTGGGGTTTACAAATGGAATTGGGACTGGCTCTGCACAAGCCAGATTGTGAGAGAGCAGGGACGCTGCCGAAGGACGGCACATTTCAGGAAGCGCATCCATGCCTATCGTCCTGATCTAGCGCAGAGAACTTGCCGCCTTGAAATCCACCCTCCCAACTCTCTCATGCCCTCAAGAGTGCTTGGGATGAGAAAAATTAGAGTTGGCTATTCACTCCCCTGCTAAGTAACTTTTCTTTTTTTTAATCCTCAGCAGAGGATATTTTTTCCATTGCTTTTCCTAGACGGGGTGGGAGGGCGCACATCTGTTGGTTGCCTCCTGCACGTGCCCCTGGCCTGAGTCATTGAGCCTGCAACCGAGGTATGCGCCCCTGGTGGGAATCGAACCCGGGGCCCTTCAGTCTGCAGGCCAGTGCTCTAACCACTGAGCCAAACTGGCCAGGGCTAAGTAATTTCTTTAATCGATTTCCTTCCTGTCCCTATGAGGCTGAAATGAACCAAAGTGTGTAAAAGGTGCTGCTCCAAACTGTTTTATAAGAGCCCCTCATTCATGCTGGCCTGAGGTCATTAACTGGTTGGATTCCAAAAGCTTTTGAATCAAGTGGCTAAAGTTTGGAATTCATTTGCCATCATAACATGGTTCATTCAACAAATACTGAGCTGCTCTGTGTGGGAGACTAGCGATGTCACAGTGAACAGACCACAGCCCGCACTCAAAGGACACACGACAGGCTTTCTGGTTGGCCCCTAATGACCTTTACTTACTCTACAATGTGGAGGTGGTACTGGTGGCCCTGGCCCTGGGTGGTGTTGAAACAAGTCATATGTTTTGGCACCCTTCCACCCCCTTAACCTCTCAGGTCAGGATCTGCAGTCTTTAAGTAGCCCCCTGCCCACCAGACCCTCTAAGGCCAACTTCCAACTATTTCCTTCCTTTCCATCCAATTTCCAAGCCCTCAGGATTGACTCTCACAATCACCTTGAGACGATCTCACCTACTTCATAAAAGAGAACCAGCAGTGACCAAAAGGAATCACTAGGGCTCTGATCTAACTAGATTAGGATCCCTTGGGGCTGCCACAAGATGACCTGGGGGGACTGCTCTGAAGAAGGCTGGGTAGCCATTTTTGTCCTCGGTCATTTAAAAACCTGCAACTGCTTGCTTTAATGAGGAACCAAATATCCAGACCTGTGGTCTGAGAAAGGAGCTTTATCATTTAAAAATAACCTCTGATTTATTCAACACCTCTATGTGGCAGGCACTCAACAGACATTTTATTCGTACAACCAGCTCACTAAGAGGCTTATGATATTCCCATTTTATAAATGAGGAAACAGATCAGAGAGTAAGTGACTTGCCCAATGTCCCAGGGATAGTAAATGATGGCTTGGGACTGTAAATGAAGGTTAAATTATATGGACTTATACATCTAATGTCCAGTCTCAGGTAAATAACTTCAGGAAACAAGGGCTGTCCAAGGGGAATGAGTGTGGTCACATGCTACGAGACCAAAATGGGCTATAATACTTCGGAAGGTAGTGGTCTGCTGAGATGCATTCAGGACCCTCACCCAATTGCCTGAGGAACAGAATGTCACCTCACATAACAGGAGGAAAGAGTAAGGAGCTCCAACAACTGACCTCTGGGTGGGCTCCTCTGCCAGGTGTTACGCTGGCTTTCTGCTCTAGCAGGACTGGCCTTCTGGCGCATTCACCTTTAGTATTGGGGGTGGGGTGTGTGCTGGCAACAAAATCCAGACTGGGGGCGGGGGAAATTTTAGGTTTCAAATGTAGTCTTGGCCTAACCAGCTTTGAAACAGGGCTTTCACTACCCTGGACACTGATGGCAGGTCTGAAACCAACCAAGAGAGGAGGCCCATCACTCTCCCACTTTAAGTAGCAACTCTTCATGCCAAACATATGCAAATGAGAGAAAAAATACTTGTTTCTTTCAGGGAGTATGACGGAAGGTCTGACCTTCATGTTGGAATAGCCAACACAAATGGTAAGTGATTTTTCATATATTATTTTAGCTTACAAAGTCCCCAAAGTACCCAGAGGAGGTAATCCCTCTGGTCCCTGGGATCTCCTGCTGCACCATGAGGTAAGCGATGCTAATACTTGACTTTAGAGCAAAGTATTACTAATAAGACTAAGTATTTGAAAAAAGGTCTTTAATATTTTCTCAGCCAAGAGCAACAGAAACCTTTTAGTTTTTTGGTGTTTAAAAGGGGAAGAAACAGAATTCTGAAGAGACTGAGTTGCCTAAGACCTCATCTTGTGTGGGACCAGACTCTGGACCCAGGCCTTCTGCTTCCCAAACATATTCTCACTCAGCCCACTGTGTTCCTGGGTCTCCAGGAGGTAGGCAGGAACCTCATGGATAAGTCAGGGGACATAACTCCTACGTAAGTGGTGGGGCTTGCAGTGGCTTGCTTTAAAAAAACTTTTTTTAAAAAAGAAGCATGTTTAAATAAAAGTTCCTTTGGCCAGATTTAGTTCTGAGGGCACAGAGTCCGCAGCACTTGAACCCAGAACATTCTTGTCTATAGGAAAAGGGCTTGGGTAAGCCACTTGCAGAAAGTTTCAAGCCTGGGAATGGTGAGCAAGGCCAGCCAGGTGAGGTATTGCTCACCTCCTTGAGGCAGGAGAAGTTGACATTGTGAACAGAAACCTGGGACTGGGTTTTTGAACTCAGAGTTATCCACATGAGCAGTAAAATTTACCACCAATCTGATCAATGGAAATTTACTGCTGATTTAAGGGACGATAGGCCCATTTATAAATAGAGAACTTCAACAAAAATATTTGGAGATGATTATCCTGGTGCCTGATATTGTCCGTTTCCTGGGGGTGACTTCAGAGTGCTGAAGAGCAGGTGGAGCAAGAACTGGGTTTCCCTGAAGGAACTGCTTTGCAGAGAGCAGGGATGTGGGGGCAGGAGCTCCATAGCCTCTCAACTCCAGGCAAGACCCTCTCTAAACCTCCTAGGTGGGTGGCTGCCTCCTGAACTTGATGATCCTGGAGGGAGGAGGTTCTGGAGCCTCTCATGGCCTATTGCTAACTGGCAGTAATCAGAAAGTGCAATTGTAGTTTCTGATATGTAAAGTTACTGTGGTGGCTGCTTTCATTTTCTGACGTCCCCTTTTCACAGAGGTGCACTTCCCCTCAAGCTTCTGCACGACTCTGGTTTTGGTTGCAGGAGTTGTCTATAATTACACCATGCACGGTGTCCAGCGAGATGAAGCAGGCTGGGAGCAGAGTATAAGTATCCCATTATTGCAGCCCGGCATGTTTGGACTGATGGACCAGTGGGACAAGTACCAGGAAGACTTCTCCACCACGGGGGCCTGGCTGCCTCACAGGTATGAGGCTGCAGAGACCACCTGCTCCCTGGCTCTCATTTGCCATGCAAGTGTGATCTCAACTCACAGAGGACTCTAAGCTGCATCTAGTTGATCCCATACCAAGATAGTAGTAGCACCTGTAACAAAATTTAAGCAGGGGTTGATTTACTTTAGGGTTTCTGCAGAGGTGAGCCAGTTTACATTACATAATAGAATCAGAGTATTTTAAGAACTGAAAGGACCAGAACTTAGAACTCCAGTTATTTTAGTTATTTGACACTTAATAATCATATCTACAGCCATATAATATTCCCTAAAACAAAAAAATTTTAAATGGTATTCAAAATTTATAAATATTTCAAGGTCCTTTTTTTGGTTTTAGCAATTTTGAAATGACTTTCTCAATTCCTTGCTCCCTTCACACTTTACATGCGTATTTGTCAATTTAAATTGTTTTCAGGCTACGCTTCAGGTAAGTTTAGACACTGTGGAATATCCTAAAATTTAAGGTATGAAATTCTACTTCTAGAGTCTAGAATTTCAGTGAAATTAAGTTCCCTAAGTTGGGGTTTATATGCACCTTCACTCACCACTCTGAACATTTAGTTGAGTTTCATCTGTACTTAAGTTGAAAGCAGAAATAGCCCAAGATGCCAAGTGTCCCTGCACAGGGTGGGGCCCAGCTCGCCGAGTGCGCCCAATTTCAATTACGAAAGGCCTTCGGCAGCTTTGTGGCCTGCTGCTGAGCAGCTTCTAAAGCTAAGCCTCTTCTCCATGTCCTTGTTTTGAAGGTATGAGGAAGACAGCCACAACTGCTACAGTTACACCCTCACATTCATTAACTGCATTCTGACCACAGAAGGAAAGGAGCAACTGGACAAGAATGAATTCACGGAGAAATTTGTGGTCCCAAGGACTAGGAAGGCTTCTAAGTACATAACACTCTACCGGGCGATAGAAGAGCGTGGCTTCTATGCGATTGACCATCCAGACCAAGAGTCAAGCCCTCCTCCGGGAAGTGGTTTGTGATGAGAGCGCTATGTAATTGCAGAAGGGACAGGACATTTGGGGGCAGCTACCTTTAATAGATAATAGGGATTTCTAAATACATTAAACTGTGCTTAATAAAAAAAGTGATAGGGCTTTCCTTTAAGCATACTTCAGCTTACTGCAGTACAAGAATTTGCAAAATTAATAAATATTGCCCCGAGTTTTCAAAATTCTTTTCATAGCAGTATGGTTTTCAAACTGAGAATCTATGTTAAAGCATAAAGTGGCAGCATCTTTTATTCCCAGAACAATGAAAACTCTTCCTATAAATTAATCAGAGCTGAATAAATTCACCTTTCAATATGAATCCAGAAGGTGGCGGGGTTTGTAACAAGGTGAACAACATATTTACAATGTATGAAGTAATGAGTATTTTCACGTCACTATTTTTCTTTAAGAAGCATAGGGTGGCCTCTTGATGGTCAACAGTAGGGAAAAAAAGAAAAAGAGAAAGGAAAGGTCTTAGACTCTAAGTCAGGAAATGGGCCCTCCTGAATTAGCCTTCCTAATCCATATGCACAAAATGGACTGCCAATTCCTGGGAAGTGGAACACCAGTCTGTTTCCTTCTCATTCTGGCTGACCTGACACGAGGAGATCAGCTGGGTTTACTATAGCACCTTCTCTTCCCATTTTTTCTTTCTTTTTAAAAAAATTTATCTTTATTCTTGAAAGTATTACAGATGTCCCCTTTCCACCCTGCCTCTGCCCCACTCCACCCTGCCTCCTCCCCTCTCTAGGCCTTCACCACACTATTGTCTGTGTCCATGGGTTATGCATATATGCATATAAATTCTTTGGTTAATATCTCTTCCCACTTTACTTTTATTATTACTATTATTTTTAATCCTCACCAGAGGATATTTTTTTCCATTGCTTTTCAGATTGTGTGGAAGGGAGGGAGAGGGGGAGAGAGAGACAGACAGACAGATAGACAGACAGATAGAGACACAGAGAGAAACATACATCAATGTAAGAGAGACACATAGATTGGTTGCCTCCTGCATGCGCCACGACCAGGGCCAGGGATTGAGACCGCAACTGAGGTATGTGCCCTTGGCTGGAATCGAACCCAGTCCCTTTCAGTCCGAGGGCCAACGCTCTAAGCACTGAGCAAAACTGGCTATTAGGGCTCTCTTCCCACTTCAAATGCAGACTTCAGAAAGGACTTAGTGAAGGGTTGTCTTGTTTCTCTAATACTCAGGAGAAGGAAGGGGAAAGCTGGAGTGGACAACCATAAAGAAATGAGGTGACTTTAACAAGCATGTCAGAATCTGTACACCCAAATAATCATGAACCTTTAAACTGCCAGTCAGCAAAACATTTCAGAATTCCTCTTTGGCGCCTGCTTCCAGAACTCACATTTTGGCCAAATGTGATACACGACTCCACCTAATCTTATTCTCCAGCCTGGCCACCAAGTGACGTCTAACTCCAAAAGCTAAACCTATCCTCAAGGTACTCAACCTCAAAGCACCAAGCCCATCTTCAATGTTACCACCATCAAAGTACCAGTCATTACTGAGTAATACAGATATTCAGAAAACTTGCTACAGATCCTTAAAGCTTGTTCAAAAGAGGTGTTTGGTCAACATTTCAGCACTGGCAGCCGCAGTGGGAAAAAACGCAGGGCACACTAATGTTTGTACTTGTAAGTTCTGGTACTTTTCTCTAAGAAAAGCGAAACTTCCCATGGGGAACATGATACCACTTTAAACAGCACTGTGACTGCTATTCTGTGGTGTTCAAGAATTCGTGACGATCTCAGCAGGTAAAGATAAAAATGTGTTGAGTTTGGGGAAGAGTATTCCAATTTGCCCACATGCTCTTAGGACTCCCCTTCTCTGGTCCCATTCTTTACCTGGCTACTGGTAATCACAGTAGCTGCAGTTAGCAAGTATTCATACAGGTCTCCACACCAGAATAAACACTCCCTATTCTTCCCTTTCACTCAAGACCACCCTGAGAAGTAGTACTAACATTATGTAGACGAAAAGGGAAACTGAGGAAATGACTTGCCCAAAGTTGCACAATGGCAAAACCAGTGTTTAAAGATGTTTGACTGCAAAGTCCATGCACTTAATTCCTGGGCCACCTGGTAACCTGAAAGAGAGCAGTGGTACCTAGGACGTGTGCTGCAACTGGGTCAGCAGTTTTTGTACTAGATAAGATAAAAAAGAAAGTAAGGATTTTGCTTTCATCAATATTCAAATATAGAGAGGAAGTAAGTAATATGTCACAAAACAATGCAAATAAAATAAGAATAAGAATTGTTAATATCAGGAATGCCAATTTCATGCTACTTTTTCTTAGTGCTGCATCCCTTCCTTTTCAAAGCGTCAACAGTCCTCTTTTTCTATTTTAGGGGCTGCTACCCAACCTGGAGGTGACACTGGCAGTAGTCGACCTATTATATCTTCATTTTAGCAGGCTATAAATTTCCTACTCATAAAATCACAGTACTAGGTTTTACCCCTAATAAAGGAAATTAAACATCTCATAACACCAATAGATGGCAATGTTGTTCTGTTTTTAGAATTATAAACTGAGAATTTGATTGTTTCCTGTATCATACCAGACAAGGGCTAACTGAAGGACATGGAGATTCAGCATTGGCACCAGCTCTGTTTCCCAGATGAAGTCTGAGTTCTCCCTGGCACCTCCCAAAACACACTTCTTCATCTCAGCACTTAGCACTGCCCCATGCACACAGGTGGTCCTCCATCAATGCTCACGGAATGACAGACCACTGGGCTCCTTTTCAGAGAGGTCAGAGTTTGCCTCAGTGTTACTGATTTGAAAGACTAAAATGACCCACACGAAGGTATTTTTCCAAAGCCTCTATAGTATGCATGGATTAGTATTATAACCAGGAAAATCCAAAAAAACATTACTTTTTAAAAACTCCACAATGGCCATATCTACCTCCCTTTATTCAGGAAGTGCTTACTGCCTCATCTCCCCATCTTTAAAGCTGTCTTCAATGACTTTACCTCAAACTATTTTTCTATCATCTTCTCCATTGTGTTACCTACTAGGGCATAAACTAGGCTTTGCAATCCCTAGAAAGAATGGTTATAGCAATGCTTACACTTTTGGTTTATCTGAAAGGGGAAAAAGTATACCTACCATGTGCCAGACACTTTCATATGTCATCTCATTTAGTCTGCAAAAGAAACTCAGGAGGTAGTAATCATTTCCATTTCACAGTTGAGGAAACTAAGGCTCAGAGTGATTAGGCAGTGCTTCCAAGGTTGCCACTGTTTTGCTAAGCTAGACTTGGAATTTGGACCAAGTTTTCCTGATTCCACTGTTTCTACCCTATCAGAATGTACATTTAAGTTAGGAAGATCTACCTTTGCAATATTGTTTCAGAATATGTAAACATTCCAAAATATTTAAATACTTAAGGCTTTTTGCTTAAAAGAAATAGACTGAATTGCTTTGAAATAAAAAATATTACCTCTTAATTTAACAATTTCACAAATGTGCTCTTCCATATCATGTATTCTTAAGTGAGGCATCCCTGTATTTTGCAAAATGGTAATAAGACTTAAAATTTTTTTAGTATATATCTATATCTATATCTATATCTATATGTATATAGCAAAGATTTAAGCTAAATTGATGGGTTTAGACATCTCAATCCATTTTAGAAATGGGCCTCAGTTACAGTTTTAAGGAAGTTAACATTCATGGGGTAATTATTTGAGTTTGTAATCAGATTTCTAAAAATTCAATTTGGTTGGTGAAATCATAAATGGAAGGTGGGTGGAGGAGAGGAGAGACATTTCTTTTTAACCCAAGAACTCCTTAACAAGGGGAAAACTAAATTAAAAAACACATTCAAGTAAATGATAGCTTTTTAAAAAAAAGAGAAAATGAAAATGCTTTAACAATAAAGGCAAAATAATTATGATAAAATGAAAACTAATAAATAACAAAGAACTTTCAGATTAGTATACTATGTTCAAAATCATAGGGAAACATGATAAACCTGGTAAACCTGCCTAAAACCATTTCCCATTCACGTTGGTTTATCCCTGCCAAGTGTTGCGTTTGAATCAATTACAGAAGTGAATCCCTGTATGAGAGAACTCTGGATGCCACCATTTCCCCTCACAGTTTGGGGATGAGGTCAGAAAACGTTAGCCTCTAAAACTGAAGCTAAGAGAATCAACATACAATAACCAACTGCACAAGTAACTGCCTTAATAGATGACAGGTATCTGTGGTTCTTAGGACACAAGTGCTTCCTCATTCCCCTCCATAACGAATCACCACAGCTGCAAATTACTAAAAGTACACTATGAGCCAGACACTGTGCTAATAAGCACCTTGTAAGGACCAACGCACATAATCCTCCCGCAACCCTCTGGGGTTGATAACATTATTATTTTTTATTGAGTTGAGATTCATATTACACCAACCCGCTTTAAAGTGAAAAACTCGGTGGCATTTAGTATGTTGTGCAACCACCTCTGCCGAGTTCCAAATCATTTCATTGTCCCGAAAGGCAACTCTGTACCCACGAGGCAGTTGCTCTGCAGTCCTCCCTCCCCACTGCCCCTGGTAACCACCAATCTGTGTTCTCTCTCCATGGATTTACCTACTTGGGGTATACAATTGGAATCAAACAATATGTAACATTTTGTGCCTGGCGTCTTTCACTTGGCATGTTTTCGAGATTCATTCACGTCGTAGCATGTCAATACTTCTTTTTGTGTGTGTGTGGCTGAATAGCATTCCATTGTATGTGTATGTTGATAACACTAACTTCATTTCGTTGTTGTTGTTGTTAATCCTCACCTGAGGATGTTTTTCCATTGATTTTTTTTAGAGAGAAGGGAGGGAGGGAAGGGGGGAGAGGGAGAAACATTGATGTGAGAGAAACACATCCATTGGTTGCCTTCTGCACCTGCTCTGACTAGGGCCGGGGATCAAACCTGCACCTCAGGTATGTGCCCTTGACCAGGAATCAAACCCACGACCCTTCAGTTCACAGGCCAACACTCTAACCACTGAGCACACTGGTCAGGGCACATTAACTTCATTTGATAGATGAGGGAAACTAAGGTTAAGATCGTATAGCTAGCCTGGCTGGCGTGGCTCAGCAGCTGAGCACTGACCTATGATCCAGGAGATCAAGGATCGATTCCTGGTCAGGGCACATGCCCAGGTTTTGGGCTCGATACCCAGTAGGGGGCGCGCAGGAGGCAGCTGATCAATGACTCTCTCATCATTGATTTTCTATCTCTCTCCCTCTCCCTTCCTCGCTCTGAAATCAATAAAGATACATATATATATGTATATATATACATACATAAAAAGATTGTATAGCTAGCCTTGGCCTGTTTGGCTCAGTGGTTGGAGCGTCAGGCTACAGATCGAAGGGTTGTGGGTTCAATTCCCAGTCAAGGGCACATACCTGGGTTGTGGGTTCTCCCCGCCCCCAGTCAGGGCATGGGCGGGAGGCAACCAGTCAATGTGGCTCTCTCACATCGATGTTTCTCTCTCCCTCCTTCCTTTCCATTCTCTCTGAAAAAGCAATGGGGGAAAAATATCAAGTGAGGATTTAAAAAAAAAAAAAATCGTATAGCTAATAAGTGGGTGCAAACCTAGGTCTGACTCCAGACTAAGGAGCTCTTAGCCATCCTGCCCTCCACCCAACGCTGATCAGAGAGACCAAGGAATTGCTGAAACTTAATACCAAAACCAGAGTCATAAGCACTTCAAAAATCCTGAAAACTGTAAGCTACGGACTCTGAGGTGGTGGTGCCTTAAAGGCAGGAAAGGTCTGCAGTTACAGAACCACACACAGGTGCCTTGCTGCTCCCTGGGCACTTCCAACGGTGACTGCCTAATTCTAGCCACAGGCTCTTCAGAAGGCAGGCTAAAGGTAACTCAACTCACTCCAAGGACAAATAGCCCTTGGCACACAGAGGCTCTTCTTGAAGTCCTCTCACCTCTCCACTTTTTCTGTGTACAATGTTTGCATGTTATCAAATGAGCCCAACTTCCACAAACACATTTCAGTTCTCAACCCAGATTTAGCTTTGAGCATGGACACTGTCTTCTTGGTCTCTTGCTAGTTTGGGTTTGAGCCACCCCTTCCAGGAAGGGAGGGGAAACTCCTGTGTCAGGTGTTTTTTCGTTCTCCTTTGTCCATATAACCACGACAGAAATATTACCATCGGCCCCATTTTAGAGGTATGGAAACTGAAGCTCATAAAGGGCAAGTTGTCCAAGGTCACATAACCACTGAGAGGCAGAGCTGAGATCTAAATGGGTCCTTTCTAGAGGCTCATTCCACAACCTAGCCTTCAATAAAATTATCTCCAGGGAAACTAATTAAAAGCTAAGAACTGTCCATCCGGGTGTGGCTCAGCAGCTGAGCAAAGACCTAGGATTCAGGAGATTGTGGTTTGATTCCTGGTCAGGGCACATGCCCAGATTGCGGGCTTGATCCCCAGTCGGGGGTGTGCAGGAGGGAGCTGATCAATGATGACTCTTTCATCATTGATGTTTCTCTCTCTCTGAAATCAATAAAGGTAAATTAAAAAAGAAAAAGAAAAAAAAAGCTAAGACCCACACATTGTTCCCAGGTTCTCAATCCTGGATCCACAGATAGTCCTCACAGAATCTGTGAAGCTCCTGAAGATGTATGCAGAATTACATACCAAGGGGGTTCTTGGTGAGAGGGATCTCAGGTTTCACCCCTACCTTTGAGGTAAGAGACCACCACCCAACTGTGCCAGCACATACCCAGCCCTGTGTGGAGGGCAGCCTTCCTCTTTAGCCTCCAAATGGAAAAGCCCTACTGGGGCTGGATTTCTGACGTCATGTGATTTTCTAGGCTGGTGTCACTTCAGTGATGGAGATCACGTAAAGGCACTGAACGCTGGAGCTCTCAGGCCAAGTCTTCTGCTTGCACTTCTGCCAGTGGCCATATCTCTGAGCCTCAAACCTTACTTTTGTGGAGGGACTCACCACCTAAACTCAAAAGGCTGTTGTGGGATAAACAAGAACATGGGTGTCTGCCCCATCTCAACTCTCACTATCTGAATATTTACTGTAACAATTTGCAAAAAATGTTATCCTACATTGGTTATCTAAATTAAAAAACAACAACACGAATATGCAAGAGTGTGCAGCAAAATCATTCAAGCTGTGTATGGACTGGAAAGAGGACAGGGCACGCGCTGCTGTTTTAGGTGACTGATGCTTGCGCTGTTTGGGAGGGTGGTCTATTATCACATCATTTTCCCAACTTTATTAAGTAAAAATGTCTCCTGTGGAAGTGGAAAAGCCTATGAAGAAAGTAGGTGTTACAGAGGCCTAGGAAATACCACTGCATTAGGAAAAAAACAGTTGGAAGTGATAGTGTATTGAGAAAAGTGATCATGTAAAAAGTAGGATCTTGGCCAAGCAGGTGTCTGCCTTTTTTTGTTTTTTCGCACTAGGTTGACAAGATTTAGCTGTGAAAAATGTTGGTTCCACAAAGTTTCATGGTGTTCTTGAACGTGGTGTGCTATTTTTAGTGAGATTCTTGTGCAGCTGGTCAGCCTGATGCCATTTGAATACATCCTGGTACAGCGGGTGACTTTGAACGCTTTGGGAGAACTGGAAAGTGATGGAGGAAAGAGAGGATGGGTGGAAGGATTTCAGTTTTAAAGCAAGTCTGGAAGGTTTGAGAGATTTAAGGACCATGTAAGACTGACTCTTTGAGGGGTGTGGGTGAAGCAACTTCTGCTCAGTGAGGCTGTAGCATCTCCCCTGGTGAACTGCAGAATCTCCCAAAGGTGGTTTTATTGCTGAGTAAATTTCCAATCTTGATGAACTTGCGTGTTGTTTTTTTTTAAAAACAACTGCCATCTGGTACATTTATTTCAGAAGGTAGGAAAAAACTGCTAGGAACTAATACTTCCAAAGATAAGCTAATACTGCTTTTAGCTGGGAACTGTGAGGGTGATGTAAACCAAAACTGTTGCTGGTGTACCATTCCAGAACCCCCAGGGCCTTCCGGTAATGCTGAAGAGGGTATGGCCTGCTACATGGTGTCCAAACTTATACATAAGGAAGGAAAATTTTCCATACAAGGCTTCTTTGATTAAAGATGTTGTTTTGGACATTGTTCTAGAGCTTTCAGTTACAAATATCTGTGTGATCTTTGGCTTCTCTATGTCTTTATTGTAGCCTTTATATCAAGGAGTCATCACAGCCTTCAATTCACCTTAGTTGATGACAAAGCACCTGAGGTGCAGTGTTGACAGGAGTACTGAACTTGGATGAAGGATTCATGGAAGAGTTTTTACCATAAAGGCACTTGATGCACTGATTAGACTTTGAAAAAAGTATCACTACAAATGACAAATGAAATAGGGAAGAAATGCTTCCTGAAATTTTTTGCCAACATTAGTTTTGAGAAAGTGATGATTCAAAGTGAAGTCTTTCACTTTGCTAAGGAGCCTGGAGTAAGCAAAGTGAACAGTAAAAATGTTGAAGAACTACTGGTATCACTAGTAAAGAGCAAAGAAGTTACTAAGATGACTGGTCTGAGGCAGGGGAGGAAGGGGAGCTCCATTAAAATGTAGAGCATGCAGACACAATGACTGTTGCGAGAGCAGGAGTATGATGTGAACGGAAGCACCGCAGAAAAGCACAACTATAGGCAGAATTTTAGGCTGTCAGGAGCTCTAAGATCACCCACCAAGGCAATGCAAACAAGTGCCCATTTGGTGTGTTTTTCATCTCAGCTTCCAAAGAGTTCTTAACCATCTACTTCTGGAGTATTTAGTGCCAAGCAGAGGACTGTCCATCAGTGTCTTGAATTTGGAAAGTGGATGAGTCTCAGATGATGGATCCCTCACTCCTGCACTGGCTCCCTCTTGCTCGTTCCCCCACCCCCATGCCCTCTGTCCGTTTCCCTCCTCTTGCCTCCAAATGCCACTCCTCAGGCAACTCTCCACTGGGATATCACCAATTAAAAAAAGGTTTTAACTAAATGTTAACTGCACTCATTATGTATCTTCCTTCATATATTACTTCACCACCTATTTTTACTTTGTAACAAGTTCACTAAAGCAAGGTGCAATTTTTATCTAATACTGCATGATAGTGTTGTGTATTCTGCACAAATATGCCCACCAATTAGTTCACTGACAAATAATTAGGTAACTGATGTTTTAAATGCTTTCTATGATACAGAAACCCTTGTTAAATATTAAATGGATTGTTATGTGTTTGAGTAATTGGTTGCAGTTCTTGGACAAGCAGAGACACATCATTTTTTCCATTTAAAACAATGGAACATAGCATCCTGCAACCCCAGACCTGTTCTCCAGCTCTCGCCCAGGAACGGATTGGATGTGGGCAACAAGAGATGCCTGAGTATGAAAGTGCTGCTTTGGAAACTGTAGAGTGCCACATAAACGTAAACTATTACCACTTTCAAGTAAAATCGGAGTGAAACAGACTTTCCCTGTTGCTGGACCAGTCTTCTTGGGACTCATCTACCCAACCTCCTCCCTGAGCAGGCGAGGACACGATGGGGCCTGGGGGCGAGGAGCTACGGCCAGTCCCAGCCAGTGCCGGTTCAAGGACAGAATCTGAAGTCCCGCACAGGGCTCTTCTCCTGTGTAATTTTATCTTTTAAAACACTAACAGTTTTCTGGTTCTGGGAGCGCCATGCCCTTTAAAACTTTTAAATTAATGGCCAATTACAATAAAAGGACTCTACCTCATCCTGAACTTGGCTTATTGTAGGAGACTTAATAAATATTTGTTGGTGAAATTGGAAATCTGAGGTTGAATTGTTAAAGTTCATCTTGGTCACTCCTCTCTCGTGAAGAAACCCAACGGCTTAGAATCACCTCCTGTAACCAAACCAAGCAAAAAAGGGGAATGAATTTCAAAAACAGAAATAAAAGAACATGCTAGGCATGGGACATCGCAGCTACATTTCACAAAAAGCTGTCTATATAATGAGGATACCTGTTTCCACCTTATAACTGAACATTTGGAGGAAATGTGAATGTAGCAATACATACACCTTACATGCAAATAGTATCTACCACAACCGTGCAAAGATTTTAAAAGCTGAACTGGCCTCAGCTGTGGATTTCCACTAGCACTTTCCAGGACTGGGCGTGCCAGTACAAAGGCTCATATTTAACATCAGAACTAGGTCTATGATGGTGCTGCTATATCCAAGTCAGCACTGAGAGGACTGAAGTGGATCTGGATTGCATTCTGTAAAAAGCTAATCTAGGGGGAATGGCAGGGCAAATTGAGGGGATGGGGCGCTGGGGCTCTCGAGCAGGTCTGCAGTGGGATGGGGCAGTGAGACCGAGAAGGAAGGGTGCAATGTCAGAGAAAAACAATGAGGTGCTGGATGTGCTGGAGGGGTCAAAGTAAGGGCAATGGATGGGAATATTAAACACTGAGTGACTTGACAATGAACCTGGCAGCACTGGCAGTGAAAATCCTGCTGGGAAGATGAGGAGATTGAGCTCAACACAGAGCCCCAGAAGCCAGAGGAGAAGTTCAAGGAAGGAATGTCAACAGTGACACTTCTAGTCTCTGGGAATCAGACTGAGAGGTCCTGGCCTGGCCAGAAGGTCCTAGGACATCTGGGAAAGCAGTTTCAGCCGAGTGGTGAGGATAGAAACAAATCACATCGCAGGTAAGGAAGCAGCAGGAATTGAGGGGAGTGAGAGTGGGTTTAGCAGGGAAAGGCTCGAGAAGACCTTCTTTACCAAGGCAAGGTGGTTTTCACTTGTTTTCTTGAGAGCACATGTTCAAGAGGACACAACACAATGGAAAGAATCTTTGGGATAACATGAATTATCTCTGAGCTTACGCACCTGAACTTTAATTCTTTTCATACATTCTGGTGACTCCATTTCTTTGTCAGTCATGGTAGAAGGTTTAATCAAATAGCACAGCATGAGTTCCTATTGAGAAATGAAAAACAATCTCCATATCCCACAAAATAAGAGTATAAATCTGGGTGTGTCAGCAGGAAATGCAGACAATCTCCATTCCTGCCCACTGTGTGCCCCTGGGAACATCATAGCTGGGCTCACACTCTAGACTAAGGAACTGCCATTTAGACACTGTTGACATGTCAAGAGAATGCAAATAAAGTAGATATACTGGTTATAAACATATAATTTAAAATATTAAATATATGCTAGAAGTCTCAAAAAGTGGGCATAAAAACACTAGAAACAGTAGCTAAAGCCTAAGCAACTTAACTGGCACTCAAGACAGCTGTTGCCTGGCCCCTCTGGATCCAGTCTCAGCTCCCACACCTCCAGCAGCAGTGGGACAGAGAGGGAGGGGGCCCACAATTCATTTTAGTTAGCAAATTACTGAATCACAGAGAACACTCAAAGCTTTCGTCCTTTATAGTCCTGGTGACTTCCCTCCTATCTTGATGGCAGCAGGAAACAGAACATAGCCAGGCAGTTAGCAGGCTCTGGGTTGAATCCCAGTTCTGCATTTGAGCTGCATGATCATGGGTTTCTCACTCAACATCTCTGACCCTTCAATTCCTTGCTCTTAGGATGAAGATAATAAATGGGTGGTGAGAAAACATGTAAAGTGTTTAGCAATAAATATTCCCTTCCTGCCTTTTCAAGAGATCTGCGAACTTTGGAAAGAAATGTGTCAATGTTTGGATTCCTTTGTGAATGTGTGGGTGAATTTTGAGCAGGTACTGGCTGTGCTTACCAAGGGCACCCAAAGAAGAAAGGCAATGCCCACCAACATCAACCACTACAGGAAACTTCAAAGCTCAACTCCTGGTGCTTAGTACCAATTGGTGGTGGGAGGGGACATGAGAGGAAGAGAGCTTCTAGCCCAATCTTCCAGAACTTCACTGGTAGAAACACCTTGAAGTTTCTACAAATGACTTTTCTATTTCTACTACATTAAAAAAAAAAAAAAAGCAACCATTTAAGTGATAGGTAGTGCCAGAGCTGATGTTGTTACCTTGGAGACATTTACTGAAACTCTGCTCAAAGTAGCCAGTGACTTCCAACTGAAAGGTCTTCGAAGACAGCCCTCAAAATGGTCATCGACTAACTCAGTAATGACAGAGTAACTGAAAAACACACAAAAGGTATTTTAAAGTACTGTTTGTCCTACCAAGAACAAAGAAACAGAAAAAATAAAATGTACATCATCTGATCCTAAATTCCCCTAGACTGCTGAGAAAATATTAATGAAAAACTCATACTTTATGTTATAAAATTTTAGACTGATTTCAACATGTATAAGAAAGGAATAGAAATATTCTTCTGCCTGGCCTGTGGTTGAGCATCGAGCTATGAACCAGAAGATGGAGGCTCGATTCCCGGTCAGGGCACACGCCTGGATTGTGGGCTCGATCCCTAGAAGGGGGGGTGCAGGAGGCAGACTCTCTCTCATCATTGATGTTTCTCTCTCCCTCCCCCTTTCTTTCTGAAATCAAAAACATAAAAATTTTTTTAAAAAAGAAATATTTCTCCCAATATGAAAGCTGAGAATTCACTCAACTGTTTAGATACTAATGTTCATTGATATTAAGATGAACAGTTACTACACAGATTAACTGAATGTTTAATACTAAAAGACAGATTATCATAACCTATTTATTATTTTATATATAATGTAACAACGCTGGTGTGTCAAAAGGCACAGACATACAGTACTTATCGTTATCAGGCCAATAGGAACATGACTAATTGTTTCTGTGGCACTGAAAATTAAAGTGGAGGCCAAAAATTTCATATCCCTTTAAGCCATTAACTTATTTAAAAATCACTCCAAACCTTGCATGGTAAAATGGAGGTCCTTTTCGATACAGCACTGCAAAGAAAAAGAAAGAAAATGTATAACCACCCGAAATAAAAATCTTATTTTATTACTTAAGTTTTTTCTTCTCCACAGAGACATAAACACCCAATTATCCGTATGTGGGTAATCTGCAATATGCCCTGTAGTCTATTTTTAAAACCCAAACTGTTTTTCCCCCTGGGACAAAATGCAATTAGTAAAGCAAGTCTGTTGCCAAGACCCTAACACCCTCCTCCCACCCTCACCCCCACCCCACAAATGAATTCCAAAGTCAAGTACAAGTGATTCTTGTCTTGCTGCTTCTCTTATACTCTCTGGGGTCAGAGCTTAAAAGTGTATCAAGAATGTGAAGTTTGTGTAAAGTGGAGGAACATTTTGTTATTCATGTTGAATCAATGTAATTCAAAGTGTCTGAGCTAATTTGGCCAGGTACTGATTTAGGTGTTGGTGCTAGAGATGAATAAGGCTCATGCCTATTTTTAAAAAAATTCAAAGTCAAGTGGGGAAAAAAAAGTACATAACCATACACACCACTCAGAGACCGGTCTGCCCTACTACAGGAGTCCTCCCACTTATGCATGAAGGATATGTTCCAAGACCCCCAGTGGATGCCTGAAACTGTAGACAGTACTAAACATTTCTACATGTTTTTTCTTATACATACATACCTATATTAAAGTTTAATTTATAAATTAGGCACAGTAAGAGATTAATGACAATAACTAATAATAAAATAGAACCATTATAATGGCTTTGGGCCATTATTAAGGTAAAATAAGTGTTACTTGAACACAAGCACTGCGATATCCCAACAGTTAGTCTGATAACCTAGACAGCTACTAAGTGACTAATGGATGGGGATCATCTACAGCATGGAGATGCTAGACAAAGGAATGATTCACACTTTGGGTGGGATGGAGCGGGACAGGAAGAGACTTTATCATGCTACTCAGAATGGTAACTTAAAACTTATGAATTGTTTATTTCTGGAAATTTCCATTTAATATTTTTAGACTAACAATGACCACACATAACTGAAACCAAGAAAAGTGAAAGATTGGATAATTCAGTCTGTGGCGGTTAAGAGCTGCTGCCGAAAGCATGAAGCTAGGGACTCTGCCATGTGGTCCCTGGAACTGAACAGGGAACCCTTCAGAGGCACAGCCTATGGCAGGAAGGAGAACACCACACACCTCCCAGAGGAATAAAGATTAAATAAAACGAGAGCAGAAAAGCACCAAGGCAAGAAGCCTGGTTGCCAAAGGAGCCAGCAGTCACGGGAGCCTCTGGGTGGGAATGTGAAGAAAGGCTCCCCTTGGTTTCTAGTCTCCCTTCACCAGTGGGTGATCAAGGTCAACCAGCTCCACAGCTGCACTTGATTTGAGATCCCTATCACTTGTTCCAAATACTGCTCCTGGAATGAAATGTGATTGACAAGATTTATTCAAGGAAGAGTTTCTCTGATAAGATGTGAATTTCATAATGGCCCTTTGTCATGAGTCATTAGCTCTGTAAGCAGAAACAACTGTTAAGAGAATGTCCTGGATTTAACCCATGTTGGCAGATCCAAGGTACATGTGATTAGGTCACCAGCCTTCAAAACTAAAATAATATTGTTAAAAACCAGTGGCACTGAGCAGCTGTGCCTGGAGAAGGTAGTTTAGGAAGCCGTTCCTCCCGTTCCAGGCTCGCACCGCTTGTGAACTCTTGCTAAGCAGGAACTGGGAAGACACTGTCATGTGGCTGCTGGGCCAGAGGCCTGGTCTCACACTAATTACACAGGCAGCTCCAAGTGCATGATATGCCCCAGCTGTGGCAGGGGCCTCCGGGGAGTTGGGAAATAGCAGCTGATTTTTTTTTTTTCTTTTCAGAAAATCTGTCTGCTTGTTCATTCCTTCATTCATCCTTATAAGGCAGTTTATTTTTAAATTAGGAAAGTTCTCTCTACTCAACATCCACAAATATGGCTTGAATACTGAAAATACGTGAGTAAGGCAGACTTAGAAGGCACTCAACAAAGGTCTCATTCCCCTGAAGCTCATCTTTTTTTTTTTTTAATTTTTATTTATTTTATATCTTTATTGCTTTCAGAGAGAGGAAAGGAGAGGGAGAGAGAGAGATAGAAACATCAATGATGAGAGAGTCATTGATCGAGCTCGCAACCCGGGCATGTGCCCTGACTGGGAATCGAACCCCGATCGCCTGGATGCCAGGTCGACGCTAACCGCTGAGCCACGCCCGGCCGGGCTGAAGCTCATTTTTAAATAAAGATGTTTTTTAAAAACAAGGTATTGTTATCCATGTGATATGATGAGCAAATGAAAGCTCAGAGAGAAGAAATTTGCCTGAGGTCACACACTCACACACCTCATAGGAGTATAAAGATTAAATAAGAAGTAGAGCCAGCTGTGAACCCAAAGAGTACTCTTTCCATCACCCCATGCCATCTCTTAAATGTTTTTTTTTTTTTAATTGATTTTGGGGAGAAAGAAAGGGAGAGGGAGAGAGAGTGAAACATGGATGAGAGAGAAACATCATCCATCTCCTGCCTCTTGCACGCCCTGACTGGGAATCGAATCAGTGACCTCATGGTGCATGGGTCGACAACTCAACCACTGAACCACACCGGCCAGGCTCATGCCACCTCTTAATGCATCACTGTAGCCTTACCCACTGGAAAAATCTACTCAAATTTCACCCATACAATGAGAAAGTTGGAGAAGACCTAACAAGCATTTGCACTGAGTGGCAATTCTTTTTTTTTAACCCTCACCTGATGATATGATTTTATTGATTTTAGAGAGAGAGAGAGAGAAACATTTATGTGAGAGAGAAACATTAATCAGTTGCCTCCCATATTCACCCGACTACGGATCAATCCCGCAACCTGGGTATGTGCCCTGACTGGGAATGGAACTCTTGACCTTTCAGTGTGGGGGACGATGCTCCAACCAACTGAGTCACACTGGCCAGGGCCTGAGAGGCTATCCTTACAGGAACATGAAAAGAAGAACAGGGCAGGAAGCCAATGAGGAAAAATGAAACTGGCATGTCACTTATTTAAGCTACATGACCTGTGGCCAACACAATTATCTGGAAACCTAGCAAACTAATCTCAGGCTAACCCTAATCATTTGTAAAGGTAAGTCTGAGTTAGGATATCTGTACTGAAATCCAGGCATGGAAGAAACAAAATAAACCATTTATCTTAGAGAGAGGGGTGATACCTAACCTTTAAATTACTCACAATCTACAAACATAGTATTTTGAGTAAAATTTCAGGGGGTACAAGGGGCCCCTTGAAGACTATCCTATAAGTCTAGGTAAAGCACACTCAATTTTAGAGCATTTAAAGATTTAAAAGCTTGAATTGGCTTTCTTTGGGTACTTAAGGCTCAAAAATATATGGAACAAGTGACAGAGCTCAAAAGACCTCAAGGGCCATGACTTCTCAGAAGGCCTCTCGAATACATTGAAATGTTTGTTTTAACCTCAGTAACAATTCTGAAAAGCATCCAGGAAGCACCCTCACTTGGCAGATGAGGAAACGAGTTTGGGGACTTACTGAAGGAGTGACACTAGTGTGGATCATATTCACTCACCCAGGCCTGTGGCCTTAGGTTCCAGTTACATATTGATGACTCCACATTTGTATCTCAGTGGTCTCCTGTGCTCCAGAACTATCTTCGCAGTATCTCCAGTGTGCTTACTTAATACATCCAAAACATTAAGCCAAATATCTAGGCACTATCCCTGATTCCTCTCTTACCCACAAGTCTCGCATCCACTCCATCTGCAGGGCTGGCTGGGCTCAGCTTCCCTAACTAGTCACTCTGCTTCCATTTTTGCCCTCCAGCAGTCTATTAGTAAGAGAGCAGAGGGTCTTGTTATATTAAATCATTAAATTTAAGTCACTCTCTTGCTCTAAATCTCCTAAGACATCCAATCAGCAGAATAACATCCAAAGTCTCTGCCAGGCCCTATGTGACCTGGCCCCAGCCTCAGACCTCACTTATTGTCACTCTTCCCTGGATCTCTAAGTTCTAGACACACTGTCTTTCTGTTGTTCCTGTGACCTGCCAAGCTTGTTCCTGCTTCAGGGCTCTGCACTTCCTGTTTTCACTTTACCTATCAGGTTTTTCCCCAAATTCTCAAATGACCTGCTCCCTCACTATGGTCACATATTTTCAGAGGGTGCTTTCCTGTCCCCTTTACTAACTTCCTATATTCTCCCTTTACTCTGTTCTGTTTTTCTCATAGTACCTATCAGCACCTGAGACTGCATCATGTACGTATCTGTTTGCTTGACTGTCTTCCCCTCCAGAAAGTAAGCTGCCCCATTAAGGTGGCTGTGTGTCTGCCTTACTTACCTTGGCATTCTTGGCACCTAGAAAGACCTGGCCCATAGGAGACCACAGCAACTCTGTTGAATTAAGTGCTCACCTAGCTAAGACTCCTCACTTTAAGTAAGGATCAGTGAAGGAAGAACTGTGTAAAAGTTTCTAAGAGTCTGGGGTTCAAAATTCAAAGTCCAGCTCTATAAGTTACTGGCCCTGAAAACTGTTCAGGGCAAATGACCCATTCTCCTAAAACGGCAGTCTCCCTCAGAAAAACAGGGGGAACAAGTATCTCCTGCACAGGACTACTGTACGGACTGAATGAGATAATGAATGGAAAACACTACAGCCCTGGGCAGTCTTGCTCAGTAGTTAGAGAGCTGGCCCAAGGACTGACGGGTCCCCCGGTTTGATTCCAGCCAAGGGCATGTACCTTGGCTGCACCCTTGCCCTGGTTGGGGCCTGTGCTGGAGGGAACCAATCGATATCTCTCTCTCATGGACGTCTCTCTCTCTCCCCCTTCCACTCTCTCTGGAAAGCAATGGAAAAAAAATCCTCGGGTAAGGATTAAAATAAATAAATAAATAAAAGTAAAAACACTTAGTACAATGCTTGGTATATACTAAATGCTCAATAAATGAGAGCTGTAATTACCATTACAATGATTATTCTCATTTGCGAGGGGAGGCAACTGAGGCCCAGAGGACAAGGAATTGCCCAATATCACATGATCACATGGCTAATGAGAGGTGGCGGTGGGAGGGTGCTGTAAAACTCTTTTCTTTTTTGTTTTTAAATATGAGTGGCTACTATGTACCAGACATTTTTATTTTTGAAAATATATCTTTATTGATTTCAGAGAGAGGAAGGAAGGAAGAGAGAGAGAGAGAGAAACATCAATGATGAGAGAGTCACTGATCGGCTGCCTCCTGCACACCCCCTACTGGTTATTGAGCCTGAAACCCAGGCATGTGCCCTGACAGGGAATCGAATCGAGATCTCCTGGGTCATACAGAGGTTGATGCTCAACTGCTGAGACACACCGGCCAGGCTACAGAACTACTCTTTCTAAGATTCCAGGGCAGATGAGAGGAAAAGCCTGAATTGGGACTGCAAGCTTCTACTCCTGGGCTTTTCTCCTAGATTACCTTTTCATTCATTCTGGACATACCCTAAATCTAATCCAAATATCCAATATTCTTCCCTAAACCCAATCCAAATATCCACTATCCTTACCTAACCCAGAAGAAAGAACTTCTTAGCAAAGATCAGCAACAGCACATATAATCAAATCTGATTTTCATCCTAGGATCTGATGCAAACCTTGGTTCTCACACCTACCAAGCCATGAATTACTTACATAAATCTGTTCCGTACTTAAGTCCCACTTTGGGCACCCAGCCCTTGCTTCGGAAGTAATGATATGCCATGTAGGTAGTCTTGAATGTGGGCTGAACCACGGTGAAAACTTTCCAGAGTTTTACAATTGTTAAAGGCTCCTAAAGTTATTGAACAAAAATAGGCATTATTATGTTGTACTCCTCCTTCAGCCAGTGAATCAACATCTGTAAGTGTGAAGCTGAAGCAGTGACTAAAATAAACCCGGTACCCATCACAGAGGGATTTAACTAGATCTAGACCTGTGCTGTCCAATGATGTGCCTGGACTGAGACGTGCTACACGTGTAAAATATACGGAATTTCAAATCTTAATGTATATATAGAAAAAACTATCTCAATAATTTCAGATATGTTGGGTTAAATAAACTATGTAATACATTATAAATTAATTTCACCTGACTTTTTTTTTTAAAAAAACCTTTAAATGTGGCTACCAGAAAATTTTAGATTATACGCATGGCTCCTGTCTGAGGTTCCCATTACATTTCCAGTGGACAGCACTGCTCTAAAGGACTTGGGAAAGGCTGCCCTGAGATAGTGACATTTGAGATGAGAAAGAAGTAGCCAAGTGAAAGGGGGTGGTGGAGGGCTCAGGAGGAGGTGGTGGTGGAGGCTGGGGAAGAACATTCTGGGCAGAGGAAAGAGTGTGTGCCTAGGTGCTCAAATGTAACAAGTCCACAAGGGAAGCATGTTCCAAAAGACCCTAAAGAATAGCTAATGTATGTCAGGCCATGCTCAGAAAAGCCACAAATAATTTTGTAAAAGCTTTAAAAATATGCTCCATTTAGTTTTGGAACTAGAGGATTTGTTATCTGATGGCACAAATTAATAATCCACTGCTTATAAGAGAATTTTGTTTCTAATGTAGGACTTGAAAAGACAGACTGGTTCGGTTCAGAGAACATTTTGATGTATCAATACAAAAAAATACAACAAAAACTAGGTAAGTTTGGAAAATTTTCTGCTTCATTTCAGTGCTTAGTAAAATGGTCAATTCTTCAGTTGGTTTAGGGTTCAGTCACTAGAAAAGATTTGCTCAGTTGGCTCAGATGAAGATTTTAATACCATAAATATGAGTTAGAGTTGTGGCTTTTTTTCTTCTTTCTTTTACTTTTCTGGAGTTGTTCCTAAAGTGGAAGCTCCATATGTGTGTGGCCTTCAAATCCCACTGCGAGGAAATACTGTACTCAGCTCCTCCTCTGAGAAGCAAGTCTTACAGAGAAGGCTAAACTTCCAATATGGATAGCTCACCATGTTTCAGATTTGAGGTTTCTATGTAACAGCTGGAATATTCTGACAAATTTCAGCTAAGGCCCAGGAGAAGAGGCAGGGTGGGCTAAGAATGGCCACCATCTGGAATAATGAGTCACTCATCAGCCAGACACCCATTTCCAAACCAATGGAATACTCGTGAAAAAGACTTATATAATTAGAATCTGATGATGATAAAATTATGTACTTCCAAGAACGGAATAAAATATGCTTTCTCTGGTCTATTTACAGTTCTGCTTACATTTTTCTTTTTAATTTAAGTTTCATTTTAATTATTTTGAATATGTATTATAATCACATGGTTCAAAATTCAAACAGTAAAAAAAGTGTACAGTGGAGCCTTTGCTGGTGTGGCTCAGTTGGTTGGGTGTCCTGTGCACCGAAAGGTTGCTGGTTCGATTCCCAGTCAGGGCACATGCCTGGGATGGGGGCTCAATCACCAGTAGGAGGCATGTAGGTGGCAGCCAACTGATGTTTCCTCTCACATCAATGTTTCTCTCTCCCTCTCCCTCTCCCTTCCATATTCTCTAAAAAATAAAAAACTATTCTTTAAAAAAAAAAAAAATGTACCCAGAGCTCCACTTCCTCTACTAGAGGGCAAGTGATGGTATCAACTTTTTATGGGGTGACCTTTCTTCTAAGGGAAGCAAGCTATTGTAAAATCATGGGCTTTGGAGCTACCCTGGCCTTGGGAGACTTATTTAATTTCTCTGAGCCTCAGTTACCTTTTCTATAAAATTCTTACCAGATGGAAGTGAGGATTAGAAGTATTGTATGTAAAGTGCCTAATACACAGGCTAAAGTAGTGCTAAAAGCTGGTAGCTTTTATTTTTGTTGTTATTTTTAGTACTGTCCTGACACAGATTTCCTGGTCATCATGTAAGATACTGCTCTTCTCCTAACCTATGGGAATAAAATTCAACCTAAAAAGGTCAAAGCTGGCTTTTGCCTGAGCAGTTCCAATTCAGGACCAAAAGCTGAACTTAGAGAAGAAGCCAATTCCTGTTTTATTTAGTGAAAGTAGACACATTTGTATTGAAGCAATTGAAATGACTACAATCTGCTTTTAACATCAGGAAAGTTTAAAGTAGAATACACCTAAATAAAACTTCTTACCTTTTCATAGTAAATACTTAGACATCCCAGAGCATAGACCAGGAAGAAGGCCTAAAACAGAGCAAGCAAAAAATGCTCATTAGAAATTATTTCACATTGCTGAGAAATTATTTTATAGATTGATATGTCTTTGCCACAATACAAATTAATGTCCTTGAATCAACATCAAAATGGTCACATATTTTTAACAGAAAGTTTGTATAATTTTTCAAGGATTTAAAAAAATCTAAGAAAATATAAATGTCACAAACTGGTTTAAAATCAGTAATAAACACCCACTTTCACCACTTTTACTCAACATAGTACTGGAAGTCCTAGCCAGAATAATTAGGCAAGAGAAAGAAATTAAAGGCACATAAATTGGAAAAGAAGAGGTAAAACTGTTGCTATTTGCAGATGACATGATATTATAATAGAAAACCCTAAAGAATTCACCAAAAAACTATTTAAGCTAACAAATTCAGCAAAGTTACAATATAAAATACCTAAAAAAATCTGCTGAGTTTCTATACACTAATAAAGAACTATCAGAAAGAGAAATTTTTTTAAAATCCCATTTACAATTGCATCAAAAGAATAAAATAACTAGGAATAAATTTAATCAAGGAGGTGACTTGGTAAACATTGACAGATATAATCCACATAACAGTGTTCCTTGGAATCCTCGATAATTTTTAAGAGAATAAAGTGGTTTGAGAACTATTATAGTTTTACCCAGATCCAAATTTAGAGCTTCTCTGAAGGTGAAGGTAGTTATTTGCTGGTCCCAATCACCGTGGTCCAGCAACCACTTCCTGCCCAGACTTCTGCCAAGGCCTCTCTGCTCTTATTTAGCCCCTTACAGTCTATTTTCCACAGGAGCCAAAGCCATCTTCTCAAAACACGAAGAGGTGGCCCCCATGACTAAAACTCTCCAAAGGGCTTTATTGCATTCTTGCTTCTCACCATCTGTAGCCCCTGTGTCTGACCACCACTCACTCTCTAGCCACCTTGGCTTCACTTCTGTCCCCTGAACACACTAAGCTCGTTTCTGCTTTTGTAATTGCTACTCCTACATCTGGCATAATCTGCCTCAGACTTAAAGGTCACTTCTCAGAGAGGTCTTCCCCAACCACATGGTTTAAGTAACCCCTATCTTGACTGTCTTCTTCAAAAGAGCACTTATTTTAGTCTGAAAGTATCCTTTTTATATGTGTTTCTACGAATAGAGCGTAAACTCTGTGAGAGCAGGAAGCTACAGAAAAGGAGCTAGCACACTGTGGGCCCTCAATGCCTGTGCTCAAAGAATAAAGAAATAGGTCTCTGGATCCTGCCCTTGGTTTAGGCCCAAATCGCCAGAGCCACCTAGAGCAGGCCGAGCCCTTTCAACTCCTTTCTCCTCAGTGTGGACAGTACTGTTGACAGCCTTCCTGGTGTCCTACAATCTTATTTTGACCTTTCCCTTCCCATGGCGCAATACTTATTAATACAGAATACTTTTTTTTCTCAGATGGACACCTATGGTAGCCAAAAGATGCAATGGAAAAGAAAGTTGGTTCCTCAAACAGCCAACTCCTTTTTTTCCTTTCATTTTCTCACTTCTTGGTTCAGAATGGTATAACAGGAAGAATGAACTTTGAGATATGACAGATCTAGGATGGAATCTTCATTAGTGGCCAGGGCCTTGGAAGTCTCACTTAAACTCTCCTACCTCACCTATAAAATGGATTAATAATGCCTTCTTAAAGATTTAATGAGATTAAATCTCATACAGATTTAAAAGGCTATGAAATCTAATTGCTCGATTCATTTTAGTTTCGCTCCCTTTCTAAAAATCATTTAGATATTTTAATCTGGGAAAGTTCAATCCAATTGTTGCCTAGCAAGAAATGCCTGCCTGCTATCAGTTAGAAGTTAAGTTCTTCAGAAACTTTCCATTATTTGCAAACATATATTTCCCTAAGAACTGATGAAACCAATGCCTCATTTTAACTGGCCTTAGATGGCTTTATGAATCAATGCAAACTGCTCTTAGGCACTTGTTACAGATGGAGAGGATCTCAATTCAATTGAATTTATTTTATTTAGAATTAAAGCATCAGTAGACTGGGGAGGTCTGTGGAGGCTGGCGATTATGTCCCTTGAGATCTCATTGATAAGTTTTTGCTTTGACAGTACTAATAAGATAGAGGGATGAATTTAACAATGATTTTGATGTCATATCACTAAATCTTCTTAGGGCCCAAATCATTATAACAGAAAAATAGCTCTCAGTAACAGACCTCTAAGGAGCAGATCTTTAAGTCAGCTGTTGTACTACCATTCTCAGTCCCTAAAAAGAACTGCTCTGAGTCACCACAGCAGGGCTGCTTGTGTTCCTTATAGACATTTACGAAAATACATTACACTGTGCAAGTGGTGCACCAAACACCAGTGATTCTTTCAAAGGCAATCTGCCAAGCAGAACTGAGAAGCAGAGCCAGGTTTAACTGCGTGCTCCTTGAAAACTTCTACAACACATCTCTGGAATGTTCTCAGGAGCCAAGCAGCTTCCAAGAATACAGAGCAATCTCATCTGCTATCTCCTATTACTCTTCCCTTTCTTCAGGGAGTATTTGGGGGGAGGCTTTTTTTCATTAAAAGCAGCAGCTGGCCAGCCTCCTGGAACAGTAAGGTTGAACCCCCAGGTTCTACACCTGATGCTCTCTCCAGCCCTACTGCTGCTGCCTACTGGAGCTGAGAGCTGGGAGGGTCTTCATGGCCTCAGCTCTCCAGCCCACACTCATACTTATGCCAACTCTAGTCCCTGCTACTCCCCTACATCACTGCCTGCAATGGCCTGGTGCCACCATGACCAGGTCACACCCCTACCCATAGATATGCCAGCCACAATCTAGCCATCCTGTGTTGTGTTGCCACTTCCAGGACTGAGCTGCATGAGAGTCTGTGCTATCCCCTGAGTCCATCTGGCAATCCCTATTTATCCTTTAACATCTGCAGATATCACCAACTCTGTAAAGTCTTTCCAGCTAGTGCGTGTCCCTTTGGACTCCAGAAGTTCCTGTGAAAATTCCATACCTCGTACATATCCATTTAACAAAAAATTTTTAAGCACCTAATAAATGTCAGGCATTGGGTACAAGGACACAAGAGAAGGAACACTAGGACAATACATATATATCACACTGTGTTTATCACATAGAATTGTAATTATTTTGGGGCTATCTCTATGATCAGAGCCATATTCTATTTATTTCTGTATTATTAGCACTTAGCCCAGTGCCTGGGACATAGTAAATACCCAGTGAATATTTTTGCAAAATACTGATTGCATATACCTGAAACTGAAGAGAAAGAATGAAAATACATACAGAACAGAAAGCACTATATGTTATACAGAGATCACATTTTTTAAATAATTTTTTTAAATCCTTACCCGAGGATATGTTTTTATTGATTTAAGAGAGAAAGGGAAGGGGAGAGGGAAACATCGATGTGAGAGAGAAACACAGATTGGCTGCGTCCTGCCACGGCCAGGATTAAACCGAAACCTAGGCTGGTCTGCCCTGAATGGGAATCAAGCCTCTTGATTTCTGGTTGAGGCTCCAACTGTGTCACCGGGCCAGGGCAGGAAATCACATTTTAGAATAAACAATTTTCTGCCCAGCTGGGCGTGGCTCAGCGGTTAAGCATCGACCGAGGATCCAAGCGATTGGGGTTCAATTCCTGGTAAAGGCACATGCTTGGGTTGTGGGCCTGATCAATGACTCTCTCATCATTGATGTTTCTGTCTCTCTCCCTCTCCTTTCCTCTCTCTGAAATCAATAAAGATATATTTAAAAAAAAAACACAAAAAACCAAAAAATTTTCTTACAAATATCACAGATTTACACTTGTTGGATTCATGCTGTTAAAAAATAATTTTTTATTAATATAATATTATATACCAACTATACTTAAATTTAAAAAAATATTGCTTGTGCCTTGGCCAGTGTGACTCGGTTGGAGCACTGTCCCATGCACCGAAGGATTGAGGGTTCGATTCCCAGTCAGGGCACATACCAAGGCTTTAGATTAGATCCCTGGTCAGGGTGTGTACAGGAGGCAACCGATTGATGTTTCTCTCTCTCTCTCTCCCTTCTTCTCTCTCTAAAATCAATAAAAGTACATTCTCGGGTGAGGAGTAAAAAAAATGCTGATTGTGAAAGAAAGAGTTCCAATTAGCTACTAAATAGCGTTTCTAAGGAACTAAATAATGATGATAATGACAAGAACAGCAGGTGCTAACACTTACTGAGTATTTACTATATACCAGGCACTGTGCTGAACCCATTACATGAGTGATTTAATTTCCAGAACATCTTATAAATAAGGTGCTATATTCGGCTTTTACAGAAGAAAGCTGAGACTCAGAGAGGTCAAAGACCTGGAGAACAGGCATACACAGTCTGACCAACAGGGAGTATTCTACACGTGTGCTATCCAGTACAGTAGTCACATGTGGCTGTTGAATGTTTTAAATGCAGGTGACATGACGGAGAAACAGAATTTTGAATTTTGTTCAGCTTTAATTAGTTTAAATTAAATAGCCACACACAGCTAGTGTCTACTGTATTCAACAGTAGACTAAGCTGTCTCATTTGTAAAATGAAATGAAGTAAATAATTCGAAACATCCTTTCCTACTCTGAAAGTCTGTTCTTTGTACCACTGGCTTCACTGCAAGGAAGGAAGTGCAGACCAGGAGATCAAGAGGCTATGGAAACACAATTACTTCTCTGTGAACACATCTATGAAATGACCCACGTGGGTGCATTTAACAAGCACTCCTTGACACCTACATATACTCCAAGAACTGTGCCAGGCACTGCAGAAGGGATCTAAGACAGGCTGGAGTGCTCCTGGAGAGGAGACACACCCATGGAAATGAGCCTGAGGAAGGGGTGCTACCCTCAAGGGCAGAAAGGACATTTCTGTGTACAGTATAAATGTAAGCAAAAAAGGAAGGACTGAATGTTACATGAACACAGGCTAGAGGAACTCCAAATCAGAGGAAAAACATGATGCAGTTGTTTAGTCAACTTTTGAGAAAGCAGCTATGTCTTAAATAAAGAGAGCAAGTATTGGTAGTTCTGCAGAAGGAAATACCTAAAGTGCCTTTAATAATTATCAGTCTTTACATAACTTGAAGTACGCATCACAGCTTACTAAAAGTTGGTGAAACTCCACAAATACACTAAAAATCACTGAACTGTACACTTTAAATGGGTGAATGGTATGGTATGTGAAGTCTATCTCAACAACCTTTTTTAGGACTTGGTAAAAACTAGTAACATAATATTTGGCCAACCTGAAACCTTGATGAAAAGAAGTGCTTAGCCTTGGCCAGGTAGCTCAGCTGGTTAGAGCATCATCCCGATATGCCAAAATTGTGGGTTCAATCTCTGGTCAGTGCACATATAAGAATCAACCAATGAAGGCATAAATACGTTGAACAACAAATTGATGTCTCTCTCTCTCTTTCAAATCAATCAAATAATAAATTTTTTAAACAAAGAAGTACTTAGACAAACTCCTTGATACCTCTGTGGAATGATATAGGTAAGGTCCCCAAAATGCACATCTTAGAATTGATCAAATGCAGGCTAAGGAATGAAATGTAGGCAGGCTTACTTTGGAAGCTGCCTAGGGTGATCTCAATACCTAACTGTGATATTCAATTACTGAATACTCAGTTACTGAATTACATACAGAACTGCATTTAGAGGTATACAGTGTTGACCAGTCCCAGAGACCAATAGCTGAAAAGGGAACAAGCTGGAAACATACCTCTTCTAGGCTGAGTTGCAAATACTCGAAGATTCTATATGGATTTCTTCTGCATCTTAGTCTCTTCTTTTGTACCAACTGAAGAAAAAAAGAAAAAACATATAGAACAAATGGGAGCACTACGTTATACAGAGGAAACCGCATTTTAAAATGAACAACTTTCTTTTAAATTGCCCAAATTCACATTTGTTGGATTCATACTGTTAAAAAGTAACTTTTTATTACTTATATGGAAAAGGTTGCTTTTCTACTATTAACATTTTATTTCTTTTTGACCCGTGAATATTCCCATAGTAATCATTTTGTTGGTTGATTTTACCTGCTTTTTTTCACAGTACCTCACAAGCATGTGTCTAGGTTCTTAATGAGACATCATAAACCTCATTCAAAAGGTTAGATAAGCCTGGCTGGTGTTGTTCAGTGATTGTCGACCCATGAACCAGGAGGTCATGGTTCGATTCCTGGTCAGGGCACATGCCTGGGTTGCGGCTAAATCCCCAGTATGGGGCGTGCAGGAGGCAGCTGACTGATGTTTCTCTCATCAATGTTTCTCTCTCTCCCTCCCTCCCTCCATTCCTCTCTCTAAAAGTCAATAAAAACATATATTTTTAAAAAAGGTTAGATAATATTTCTCCAAGTGGGTGTTTCACATACCACTTAGCCATTAGATTGTTTCTCATTTTCAGCTATTACAGACAATTCTAGGGTAACTCTGACAGTTATCCCTTAATGAAGTGGCTGTTCATCTGCTTCCCATGTGACGGCTGACTTCTATATGCAGGACCCGCCCCTTGGCTGTGCTCCAGACTATGTGCAATCACCACTACATTTCTTTTCCTCCTTGAACCTGCTTTAATTTATACATTTAAAAAAAGTTATTCACAAACTTCAAGGTTTTAGCTGAAACAGCCCTCACAACTACTCAGACACCAGGGCAGGACCCAGTGCCTGCTGGTAACCTTGGAGTGTCTGCAGTGTGGTGTCCTGTCCACCTCTCTCATAAGCTGGGTGCTTAATATGGGCCTGCTACCAGTTCCAAGCAAGGGACATCCAATTAGCCAACATCTCCTATGGGCCACAAACAGATGGCTTTGGAGGAAGTGATTCATTTTCTTCTACTTACTTCCTTGTTTAGGGCATCTTCCTTCTCACTCCCATCACACACAACTTCCTCCACCAGCACATACTCATCATCAGGCCCTCTCTCTTTGGCACAGACGAGACCCGCTGGTTGGCTGCTGTCCGGAGTGTCACACTGGGGGAGGAGAACATCTTGTTTGCTACAATGGACTTGGGGCAGAGGTACAGTGCCCTCTAACAGGTGTTCATCCAAGCCATTTGCAGTTAGTGGGTCATGCCCAGAGCCTTCCTGCAGGCAGTGTGATGGCTTGCTGGGATCCTCCATATCGTCTGACTTTCCTGAGTCCCCATTCATCACAGACAGTTTCTCTCTATCTGCTGTGGCTTCCATGTTGGAAACTATTTCAGAGTTCAGTTCATCATGCAATGGAACCTTTTCGTTCCATTTTATGCAAGGATGCTCAAGTGGTTTTGTGTAATCTTCAAGGATTCTATGCACTGTACTCTCATCTTGCCCCTGTCTTCTCATGAGCTTTGTGGCCCATTCTACACTATGTTGATACCTGCAAAATAGAAATAGTGTTAGTTACAACACTTGAATTTCAGTATTTAAAAGACAACAGAGCACATAAAAAAGATGGGAAGGTAGTATGCCAAAATGTTTGCAGTGGTTTTTCTCAATGGTGGGCTATAGGTAAATGTTTTCTTTATACCTTTCTGCATTTTTAACTGTTCTGCAATGAGCAAGTATTACTTTTTGTTTGCTTTTATTATAGAGCTTCATTTAACTTGCTGAATTTGAAAAAAAAATTAACCTCAGTTTAACAAAGTATGGAAATGTATGCAAATTTATGCAACCCCCCCCCACCAAAGTATGCAATTTAAATCTGGTAGAACAAATGATTTTGGTAAATATAAAGAGAAAATGGCCATCCTTTGTCAGAATCTGTATTATTTTCAATTTTAGGCATCATATTTTCAGATATATATCCCATTCATACCATAAAGAGCCCTTGCTTAGTATTAGAAAGCAAAAATGAAAATTTCAATATTTTTCACAGTACTTCCTAATGTCTCCACTACACATGGAAAAAAATGATGATGGTTATGTACATACAGCCAAGCATCCTAATAGAAGTGGCCCCTTTTTCCATAAGAATTTTAAAACTATATTTTAATGAGAAAATACATGCTTAGTCTCTTAAACTTGAAGACAAGCTCTGAACACTTCCCAGTTTCAAAAAGTTACGACAAGACAACAGGGCTCTGCCCCAGTAAAGAAGTGTCAGCACCTAATGATGCTGCTGGGATACGTTCATGGAATGTGAGATCACTGCCACATGTGGAAAATCTAATCAGTGGAAGGAAAAGACACTGTGAAACTCAAGCACTTTGGCCTCTACCTACAGCAATTAGTGTAAAAAGCACCTAAGAAAACACATAGCTTCTGAAAAGACAGATGTAATTTCACTCTTCACTTGAGTCCTTTGTCTGTGTATGGATGACTGAGTATGTCATAGCTTATAAACTGCTACATCTCACACACAGTTAAACAAGGAAGGTTGCTTCTGCTGCATTTAAAAAAAGAGACCTGTGGCTGCTTAATCCTGATTCATCAGTAGAATCTCCAACCTGCCAACATCCTGTTTATCCTACATGGGGATAAACATGCATTCCTATATATTGGGAACAGTCTCTTGGATATAAAAATTAAAACTTGGCAAGACTTCTTTAACACTGAAGGATGATGCACTGACTACATGTATGGACTCCCCAACACTGCACATTTTGTGTTCAGCCCCGACTCTGTGACTTATAACTGTGTGACAAAGCCAGTTACTTAACTTCTCTGTGCTTCTCAGTTTTTCCACCCATAAAAAGGGGAAAATGGTACTACTGCCTCAGAAGGGTCATGTTATGTACCACTTTTTTTTTTTTAAATGTTTTTATTGATTTTAGAGAGAGAGGAATGGAGAGGGAGAGATAGAAACATTGATGAGAGAGAAACATCAATCTGCTGCCTCCTGCATGCCCCCTACTGAGGATTGAGCCTGCAGCCTGGGCATGTGGCCTGATAGGGAATCAAACCAGCAACCTCTTGGTTCATGGGATCACGAAAAAAATGTAGCTGCCCATATAACAGCAAGATGTCTTTCATCTGTATGAAAAGTATGGCCACTGTTGCATGCAGTTAAAAGACCTTTCACTTGAGATATCTAAGAAGAATCTTTGTTCTTCATATCACCTAAAGCTTTATGGGTTCTATGGCTTTATGGGTCTATGAATATTCTTCATTTGAATACAAATTTTTGTGTCAATGTGTATTTTTCTGAGGAAGGGATCTACAACTTTTATCATATTCCTTGACTCAAAATATATGAAAGAATCACCAAATTAAAGATTCAACAGTTCCCTCTTTGAGCAGATGATCTGGAATTGAGAGAGCGAGCACACACAGGTCACTACTCTGATCTTTGCAAAAGAGTGGTCAAGGCAGATGTGAGTTCAAAACCCTCACTCCATCATGTTCTCATACTAGCTATATACCCTCCTCTCTAAGGCTCAGTTCTTCCTCTGTGAACCAGGGATAACTACCTGCCTCATGGGGTTGTTGCAAGGGTTAAAGAAGATAACACATGTAAAGTGCTCAGAATGTAGAAAGTACTCAATAAATACTTGTTACTATATGATTGTGGGATTTTTAGGGAGACTCGAAAAATAAAAACATTTTGACTCAATATATATCATATTAAAATGCAAATGACATTTTAACGAATGGAAATGTGCACCTTAATTAACTGCTCTCTGAGAGCAGGGGCAGCCATGTGGGGACAAGCGCTAAACCACGTGGGTTCTGGAGTTGGCTCTTCTGTGATTCTCAGCTAAGCCACTTAGCACCTCTAGTCTCTTTTTGCTTTTCTGCCAAATGCCAGAATCATGCCTGCATTTCTGTCTCATAATGACCTCAGATGTTCATTTATGAAAGCGCAAATGAGACTGTGGCCACAAAAGTATGTAGAAGAAAGCCTCTAAATAAGACTGGTGATGAAAACAGACAGATGCACAAATGACTAAGACATATGGGTTATATAACAGGTGTCCTCTAAAGGGCTGGCAATCCAAAAGCCAAGTCCTACCGCCATTAACTCCAAACACTGCTGGAGAGAAATGGCAGGAAGACAAAAGTGAAAGTCAGAAAACATAAGGGGGAGAGTGGCAGAAAGAAAAGGTGGCGACGGCTCTGATTAGAAACAGTAACGAGACTGATGAAAAGCAGACTCATTTTAGGGCAGCAGGAACACAGATGATACCACTTGACCACGCATCAGCTGCTCATGTTTCTACGCCTTGATCACACCTCTTCCATTTACATAGAATGACCTTCTCCACCACCTTATTAATTAATACCCATTTATCATTGGAAGTTCACAGCAAAATTCTGAGTCAGTTTGCTTAGGTTCAGGTATTGGCTTTGAGCAAGTTACTTAACCTCCTCTGATCCTCTGGTTGTTTCCTCATCTGTCAAAGACAGATAATAACAGGACCTAGCTCACGGGGGTGGTGAAGGACTTAAGGAGACAACCCATAAACCTGTTATCAGCATAGTATCTAGCACAAGGAATGCCCGCATATAAAACTATGTTATTATTCTCATTATGTGTCAATTCCTCTCAGGCTCTGGAGCTGAACTTCCTGGTTTAAGCTCACGTAATCTTGGGCAAGATAATTACAGATTCCCATGTACAGATGGAAATGACTATACCTACTTGAAGATTTCTTACGAAGATGAACGGAGATGATACAGGTATACAGACCAGTAACCGGCACTGTTGGAACAATCCGTATCACTGGCTATAATGATGATGATAGTGATGTTGGCTATCACCAGAAGCTAACATGGAAGGATCCTAGAGCTGCTAGAGGGAGCATAGCCCTACTGTACCTTGATTTGGGATTTCTGGCCTCCAGAACGGTGAAAATAAATTCCTGTTCTTCTAAGCCACCCAAGTTTGTGGTACTTTGTTAAGGCAGCCCTAGGAAACTAATATAAGGATCAATAAAATTCTAGGAATATTACATTGCAGAGCTTTTAAATGGATAACCTAGCTTACAAAGGGATAACCTTCAGGCAGGCAACAATCTTACATATTCAAACTAGCTTGACATCGTGTCGTCATTACTGCCAGCCGGATCAGGGTGCAGTTCTGAGGGGCAGGCTTCTCTTTTGTTTCTGAGTCTTAGTGTTGGTTGCAGCAACCTGCCTATACTGCAGCCCTCCTGTGATGGAGGTTCTGCCAGGTTCTTTGCAGGCCCCTCCCACAGACTGGGACTCTAACCCTGTGCCCAGCCTGTGGTTTTAGCCAAAGCAGCCACTGAGATCTCCCTGGTGCCACTGCCTCCTGGACACTCCTCTGGCCCTGGGGTTACTGGGCATGTAAACAAAAGGACCTATCAGATTCTGCCAGTACATGCAGAAGCAAGATGAGATATCATTGTGAACATGAGTGGTTTTAAAAGGCTTCCTGGAAGAATTGCGACTGAAGCTGCACCTTAGGGATGATAGGATTTAGATGGGTGAACATTAGCCAACAAGATCCTACCAAAGGGCCACTAAGTGTTGGGGCTGCCAAGAGGAACCAGGCATGGTCCCTGCTCTCCAAGACCTGACATTCTAAATCTATGTGTACGACAAACAGTACAGTGCGGGCCTCTGAAGCAGACTCCACGGGAGCTGGAGGAATGACCCACAACTCAGCGGAGGGAAGGGCGGTGGTGAGGAGAGAAACTCCGAGAGAGCAGCAAGTAAGCTATATGTGGAATGTGCAGAAATAGGTAGTGTGCATTTTTCGGGGTCAGGGAGAAATGATCCAGGAAACAGGTACAGCATAAACAAGAGCCCAGGGGAAGAAGTTACACTATATGAGTGGACCGGAAGAGCCTGTGAAAGCCTCTTTCTCTAACCCTATTAGTATAGAGCAATGAAGGGGGTCAGGGTGTGTATGCCCACACAGCCCAGGAGGCCAGGTCTAAATCTAAGTCTAAGCATCTTAGCACTTAAAGACATAACCATTACAGGGTAGTTGTTCATATCTGGGAAGGAATCCAACTTGCAAAAGATTTGGTTTAGGATTATTTTAAAACATAAACTTAGTACATTTCAAATATGATTTGATTCACTTCAAGAACTCACCTACTCAAAAAAAAAAAAAAAAAAAAAGGTATAGACTATCACATTAGAAAAGCTTATCTAAAAATAGACCTGACTTCAACTATAATTTTGACCAAGGCCACAGTTCAGCATGACTTACTTCTTTGATGTGATTATAGGCATATTTGTCTTCACATCTGTAACAACAAAGAAGTTCCATTAATTCAGACACATTTTCCTTAAGGAGAAAAAACACTGAAAACCTAGAAAAGACTAAGAATTTCAAAATTCACAAAATCATACACCTAGAAGATTGACTGTCCAACCAGCAATGGCAAACGTGCTTTATATTGCCATCACTCCCTACACCCAAACCCTGCACCAAACCAATCAGTGCTCTTGCTGGACTCAGGTGTGACCTCAGAATGCTTCTCAACTCAATTCTCCAGCAGCAATGGCATGCAAGAGGAATTCTTTCTGCCACCTCTGAATGCTCACGCTCTCAACTGTCAGATGAGAATACTGAGGCCCTAAAGTTTTACACTTTACCCTCATTGTCCCGTGCTCCATAAAGCATTTTCAGTGAAAGCTGTACCTATAAGAAAGGGTTGTTAAAGCAAGTTTCATGGCAGTGTTTGGGTGTGAATTTGGCATATCGGAACAATGCTCCAACCAACTAACATAGCTGGCCAGGGCTTTGGGTGTGGATTTAGGAGTTCTGAGCTCTACTTCTAGCTCTGGGCATCTGGCTGGAGAAGTCTTTCCACTTAAAATATTTACTGGGTCACCTAATGGTGTGGGTTTTAGACAACATGGAGGGATCTAGAGGGTATTATGCTAAGTAAATTACGTCAGGCAGAGAAAGACAAATACCATATGATTTCGCTTATATGTGGAATCTAAAAAACAAAATAAGTGAAAAAACAAAACAGATACAAACTCATAGATACAGAGAATAAGTTGATGGTTGCCAGGTGGGAGGGGTGTTGCAGGGCTGGGTGGAAAAGGTGAAGGGATTAAGAAGCACAAATTGGAAGTTACAGAAGAGTCATGGGGATGTAAAGTACAGCACAGGGAACATAGTCAACAATACTATAATAACTATGTGTGGTGCCAGCTGGGTACTAGACTTATCGGGGGGATCAGTTTGTAAGTTATATAAATATCTAACCACTATGCTGTATATCTGAAACTAATATAATATTGAATGTCAACTCTAATTGAGAAATAAATATAATATACACACACACACACACAAAGGACTTTGGGCAAGTCATCTCTCCTCTCCCAAATTTGGCCTTCTCTCTGGTGGATTAAAGGCTTGAAATAGATGATGTTCAGCTTTAAAACCCAAATAAGGCCCATACACTGTAACTGATTGATGTATCTTCAGTTGATTCTAATATAGGTTTCCCTGAAATTCATTTCTTGCAGATCTGGGTCCTCTGTCCTGCAGAACTTTTCCCGGTCTGGCTTCAGATGAACACATCCCCGTTGTGCTGTTAACAAAGTGCCACTCAAAGGTGGCCACAGGCCCGCCGGTTCAAGAAGACATGAAGTAACTGACTCACTCAGCACACTGCTTGTTTGTTCAGCTCACCTTGTTTTCATAGCCAGATTTTCATGGAGAAGGAAGTTGCAGGTAAATAGGTAAATAGCTGTAGCTAAATGAAATGGGATCTATTTCCATTCTGTGCAAAGGTCTTACCTTGCTGCACCTGAGTACTTTGAGCAGCGCGGGCTTAACACATTCCTCTGTTTCCTGCATCTCCTGTGAATTGGTGGAACTAGAGCCTTGATTAGACCCAGGTTCGATTTTGGGGGAAGCTTACTTGATAGGTGGTGCTGTGTGTTTTCATCAGAAGACACAAAGTGTCTTGTTGGCTCTTCTTATGTCATCAGCACCATTGCTGAACAATGTCTAGATCTAATAATTCATGAGAGGTTGCAAAATGGTAATATTCTAATCCAATTATTTCTTCTTTATTAGTGAGATTCTTCTATAAAGAGAAATCCCTCACTATTTGGCTACCACATATTCCAGTTTTCAAAATGATGAATCCCCCATAGGTGAACAATGAATTTCTTCTGGCATGTATCAGTATGAACTAAAGGATTCAAGCATTTTGGGGGTATTATTATGAATAAATTTTAAAATAAATTGTAGTATTCTTATTGATGTTCAAATGCTTCCACGGCCAGTGGAAGCCTCTTTTGAAACAAGCCTAGTAGTTTTTCATAGCTTCCTTGCTTCCTGGTACAAGGAGTTTCATCTAAAAAATCCTGGCTGCTCTCAGCCACACCATCAAAATTATTCATTTGCTTAATCATACAGTATAGATATAACAGTCTCAGCATAACAGTAACAACACTACCAGCCATAAAATAATTGCTGAAAACAATGAAAAGATTATTTTGTAGCTCTTTCTTTCTTTAGAGTATATGGCAGGTTGACTGCCCCAGTTCTTCAGGTCTCCCACCGGCCAAGCCCCTGACTCTGGGCCAGTGAAATATTAGCAAACACAATGACAGCAGAGGCCTGGAAAGCACCGGCACACTGGGGTGTGCTCTTGATCCTTCACCATAACCACGAGGACAAACCTGGGCTAGCCTGCTGGAGGGCTGGGGCACACGCGGTGCCCGCCCTCATCCCAGTCAAGGCCCTCCTAGGCCAGCTGACAGCCAACCGACAGCCAGGCACCAGTGCGTCCAGCTAGATCCAGTACTGGACTCGGCCCATTAGACCAGCCAGCTGACCTCTGACTAACCAGGTGGATGAGCACATCCAGCCAAGATCAGCAGACCTACCCAGCAAACCTGTAGACTTGTGAGCAATTTGGTTGCTAGTGAAAGCCACTGAAATTTGGGGTGGTTTGTGAGATAACACTGTGGCAGGAGATAACTGGCACAAAGTCTATCAGTCAAATGATCATGCTTTGAAGTCACTCAAAACAGTTTACCCCTTGTGGCTATACCACCAACGTGATATACAGGTTCCTTTTTTTTTTTTTTTTTTTTTAAGAATTACCTTTTAAAATTTAACTTTGTTTTATAATCATGCAATATATTTACAAAGTTCCAAAGTCAAATCTATAAAGTCTCACCTCTCTCCATCCTATTCCACCCCTCCCCCATAGGCATTAAAAAAATTATGGTTTATCCTTCCTTATATTTTAAACACATATTTATGCCCTGGCAGGGTGGCTCAGTTGGCTGGGGTGTCATATGGTACACCAAAAGGCTGTGGGTTCTATTCCTGGTCAGGGCACATACCTAGGTTGCGGGTTTAATCCCCAGTTGAGGCGCCTATGAGAGGCAACTGATCACTGTTTCTCTCTCGCATCGATGTTTCTCTCTTTCTCTCTCTCCCTTCCTTTCTCTCAAAAGTCAATGAAAAGCATATCCTTGGGTGAGAATTAAAAAAAACAACCCATTCGTTTTAACCTGCTGATGGTGCTTATTTAATTACCATGAGACTAGAGAAATACACTAAGATAAAAGATTTATAAATTAAAGAGGATCAGCAAGTGAGAACTAAACACATTACTATGTTTTAAAAAATCCATCAATGTCATAGTTAATGTTATAAATTCTAATTCTAGAAATGAAACTCATTTTGCATATAGGTGAGCAGGAACCTAATTATCAGTACCTTCCACATGCATAGTATTCTTCTAGGCAATGCTTAGCAACAGAAAAGCCGAATAACACTTTTGATAATTCCAGAAATTAGATAAAACATATTTTCACCCATTGTAAGAACACTTTTACCTTCATCAGAATTATCCTAGTTACTACTTTTAGTAGTAAAATTGTCAGTGTGCATTTTACTTCTCCACTAAAATTTTACTATGTAATCTGAGGTGGAAGATCAAAACTGAAAGAAAATAATAATTTGCCAAAAGAACTGAGTGATGGTCAAGTTTACCTTTCCATTTAGCAACCAGCTTAGGATCTGAAATTGTGAAGTTAGGACGGCTTCGAGATAGGATTCCTTTTCCAAAATAACCCTTCCAGGAAGAGAGAAAATAAAGTTAGTTCACCTTTAGTTACCAATTTTTTAGGGAAGAATCACTATTTGAGTTAACAAGAAATTTATTCCACTTTTCACAGCTTTACATCTTCCCTCTGATTATCTAATGAATACTAATGAAGATCTTAGCATTTTCTCTCTCTGACTGAAGAGAGCTAGTAAGTTTTTAGTACTTCGTTTGTCTCATAACTAATGACTTCATTCTTGGTCTGATAAGCTGAAGGCAACAGGGTAGGCAGAGGCAGGCATTCTCCTTCACATGGGGGTCAGGAGTAGTGTGTCTAAAAGCAGGAGCCAAGTCTGCCAGGTATAAAAAGCTTCCTGGATTCTCCTGTACTCCCTTCCTGTTGACACAGATTCCCCCCCTCCACTTCTTAATTTAAGCCCATAGAAATTTGAGAGAATAATAAAATGAACATCTTTCACCCTCACCTAGATTTAAAAATCAGAATAAATAATGTGTATAGCACTTTACGAAGCTCTTGTTTAATGTTATGTATTGCGAATGTGGAGAGGCTGCCTTGACCTAGACTGCCATCTCACCAGGGTCAATGCCACCCACTGTATCCCACTTTGGGAAGGTGGTTAAAACCTACATGTTTCATAAAAATGTCAAGAGGGCATATTTGAAGAGACAGAAGTGGATTGGTGGGTGCTTCAGGCTGGGAGTGGGAGCAGGGATTAAGTGCAATGGACATGAGGGAACACTCTGGGCTGATGGGAAGGCTCTAAAACAGGATTTGTGGCGGTGGTTGTATAACTCTATGAATTTATTGCAATCACTGAATTGTACACTAAGAATGGTTGAATTTTACGGATGTAAATTATACCTCAATAAAGCTGTTTAAAAAGTGCCCCAGTGGCCCAGGTCAGGTAGCTCAGTTAGTTGGAGCATCATCCCATGCACCAAAACGGTTGTGGGTTTGATTCCTGGTCAGGGCACATACCTAGACTGCAGGTTTGATCCCCAGTTGGGGTGCATATGGGAGGCAACTGATCGATATTTTTCTCACATTGATGTTTCTCTCTCTCTCTCTCTCTCTCTCTCAGGTAAGGATTAAAAAACAAAAAGTGCCCCAATGATGAATTGGCTATGGAGAGGGGGTGCGGGGTGGACTATGCTACCAATCTCAACCCAAACCTATTATCAATGCAAAACAACAAAACTATAACTTGTCCTCATCTAAAAAGAGGTCCCCAACTTGGAGAGAGAGCAGATAAGGAGCCAGAGTACATGCTAAAGCCTCATCTGATCTGTCCATGAGCCTGAAGAACATGCCACTCTGTGGTTACCCCTGGGGATGGAACAGTTACTTTTTACCCATTAATTTAATTTCTGTAAATTGCTTGAATTTTTTTTTTTTTTTTTTTTTTTACAATGAACATGCATTGCTTTTATAACTGAAAGACAAGAAAGGTCAATGTTACTGACCCTACTCCACTGCTGAAATGTGGGTTCAGGGTGGGGGAGTTATCCTCATGATATATGGCTTCAGGGCAACTGAGTCAAACTGTAGTGTTCCTATATGAGACTCAACAGCAAGGAGAGAATATGGGTCATTTATGGTTTGTTTTGGGAGTGGAGGAGGAAAAGAAGGATGGCTGGACCTAGCCTGTCAGGAAGCAGTCGTGCCAGGGTCACCTATACTTACTTTCCCATACAGCTGCTCAATATCTTCTGCGTTCCTCACAATTACACTGTTGTTTATCATTTCAGCGCGGAATATTTTGAAGTCTTTCTGACCAAAAGGGATCGGAAATGGAGACTCATAATTCTCATACACTCTTCTTTTCCTCTTTGGGGCATGGAAAACTGCTTCCGCCATTTTTCAAGTGTAACTGTTCTTTAAAGAGTATAATAAAGATAAAGAAACAAGATAGTCAATCAATAACTTCATTGATAAAAAATGCAAGTACATTTATACCTAGGCTCAGAAAACTTTGTGGTCTGTGGGAAAAATAAAATATTTATAACGCAGTGAACTAAAAGACACAGAGTCATGAAAACATTTTGTAAAAGCAGTGAAAATCTTCACCTAGAATATCTCAATTAATTCCCACAACAATGCCCAAGAAGTCAGTGGCATTATTTCTAACTACAGCTGACAAGACTGTGGCCTAGTGACATGCCCTAAAAGTTACAATGCTCTATAAGCACAATAGGATTTCTGCCTGTTACTCCTATTCTTTCACTCAGCCAATAGACTTTTACTGTGTACCTACCAGGGGCTCCTAATATCAGGGGTGCTGGGAATATAAAGATAAAAGAAACTTAAAATACATTCCAAACATTATGTCAATCGTCTTCCAATTTTAAGGCACTGATAAATAAAAATGACAGCAGCAGTTCCTCAGAACAGAAACCCCAGAAATCGATCCACCTCATTATGGTCAATTAATATTTGACAAAGGAGGCAAGAGCATATAATGGAGTAAAGACAGTCTCTTCAATAAGTGGTATTGGGAAAATTGGACAGATACATGCAAAAAAAATGAAACTACATCACCAACTTACTCCATACACAAGAATAAATTCAAAATGGATAAAAGACTTAAATGTAAGTCGTGAAACCATACAAATCCTGGAAGAAAACATACGAAGTAAAGTCACAGACATCTCACATAGCGGAATTTTCACCGATACATCTCCTAGGGCAAGAGAAACAAAGGAAAAAATAAACAAATGGGACTACATCAAACTAAAAAGCTGCTGCACAGCAAAAGAAATCATCCTCAAAATACAAAGGAACCCCACGGTATGGGAGAACATATCCACCAAGGATACATCTGATAAGGGGCTAATCTCCAAAATATACAAAGAACTCATACAACTCAACAAGAGGAAGACAAATAATCCAATTAAAAAATTGGCTAAGGACCTGAATAGACACTTCACCAAGAGGACATACAGATGACCAAGAGACGTACGAAAAAATGCTCAATGTCACTAATCATCAGAGAGATGCAAATTAAAACCACAATGAGGTATCACTTCACACCTGTCGGAATGGCTACCATGAACAAATCAACAAATGACATGTGCTGGTGACCATGTGGAGAAAGGGGATCCCTGATACACTGCTGGTGGGAATGCAAACTGGGGCAGCCACTATGGAAAACAGTATGGAGTTTTCTCAAAAAATTGAAAATGGAACTGCCTTTTGACCCAGTGATCCCACTTCCAGGAATATATCCTAAGAAACCCAAAACACTTATCAAAAAGAAATTATGCACCCTATGTTCATAGCAGTGTTATTTACAATAGCTAAGATCTGGAAACAGCCCATCAGTATATGAGTGGATAAAAAGCTGTGGTACATTTACACCATGGAATACTATGCAGCTGTAAAGAAGAAGGATCTCTTACCCTTTGGGTCAGCATGGATGGACCTGGAGAATATTATGCTACTCAAAATAAGCCAGGCAGAGAAAGACAAATATCACATGATCTCACTTATATGTGGAATCTAAAGAACAAAATAAACTGATGAACAAAATAGACCCAGTGACATAGAAGCATGGAACAGACTGACTAATCTCAGAGAGAAGGTAGGGGTGGGTGGGTTGCAGGGAGAGAGATTAACTAAAGAATTTATATGCATAAATGCACAACCCATGGACACAGACAATAGTGTGGCGAAGGCCTGGGGCAAGGGGTGGGTGTAGGGTAGAAGGGGTCAATTAGGAAAAAAAGGGGCCATCTGTAATTCTTTCAACAATAAAAAAAATTTTTTTTAAAAATGACAGCAGCAGTTCCCAATTAAGGGTCTATTATGTACCTCCAAGTGGCTAAGAACTGTAAAGCAGAGTGCCAGGATAGGAATCAGCTTCACTACTTCCTAGCTGTGTGATTGTGGACAAAGGTTACTTAATCTCTCTGTGCTTTGGTTTCCTCATCTAAAAAATAAGAATAAAAATAAATTCTATCTTATAGTTAAGACTCATAAAGCGCTCAGAAGAATAGCCGGTTCATACTGAGCGCTATGCATGTTCACTGTAATTATTATGATGGGGTAGGCCCTACTAACACTATACAGATGAGGAGTCAGATTCAGGTTTGAGAGACTATATAAAAGGCCCCAGAGAGTTGGGCACTAGACCATCCCAGGTCTGCTGAATGCCAAAGCCCATGTTCTTCTTTCTAGCTTCTGCTGCAAGCACAGGTAGCATCTGTCCCCCTTTGTCTGAAGGCTATTTCTCAAGGTTAGAAGCTAAAGGGTTATTGTGGAATTACTTGCTGTGCACCCAGCACTAGGAGGGCGTAAAGGAAGCTGAAGTCAGTACCTCTCCCTTCCAGGCCTTATACTCAGCTTGAGGAGACAAAACAGGCACCTAACGCACAACAGGCTGCAATTCAATAACGGCTAAAGGAAGGAAGTGGAGTTGAGTGTATTGTGCGATAAAACATAGAGCCATGGTAGATGCATTGAATTTAGGAAAACTCAACCATACACAAGGGGGGAAAAATGTAAACAGTGCAAGAGATTGGGCCAGCCGCTCCAAGTGACGAGCAGACGCCCTAGAATGAGACAGAAGACTTGAACCTGCTGCTCCCTCCGTCCTGGGTCTAGACTCCATTTAAGCTGAGAGCGTATCTGTGCTTGAAGATACAGTGGAGCTGTATCACACATTTAAACTACATGGCTCCAAACCCTCACAAAGAAAGAAGGAGGACTGATTATTGAGGTGCCTCCTGCATTCAATACCAGCATCCCACTGGGCAGGGGATGTAACCAAGCCTGACACCAGCCAACAGAGGTGGCCAAAGCTGAGAAAGGAGGGTGAGTGGTTGTAACTGCTCATGACCATTCAAAAAATTAAAAGCTTTGTCCACTGTGCGATGTCTTTATCCACCCGCTCAAAGAAGTTGAGGAGTTAAATGAGGATAAAGAAAAACATAGACCAAGGAAGAGTTAGAGAAATTGAAAGATCAGTTACAAAGATAACTATGAAAAATAAAAAAATAAGTTGGAACCTCCATAAAATTGCCAAAGTATTCCAAGCAGCAAAATGCTAGAGTAATTTCTAAGTTAGATCCCTCAATATAATCACATACTGAGCATGACTGTACATATTACACACACACACACGCACACGGTATAGCATTCATAACAAAACTATGTATACTGCATGCTAATGGGCAATTAAGAGATTTTCTTCCAAGGGCATTTTAACTGGATTTTCACTTGCTGACCTATCCCTCAACCCAAGCATTTACTATTTAGTTGTCGAAGTAACTATTCTAAAGCTTAAACAATGCTGTGCTCGCTTTTTTTGAGGCAGGACATTGATCTCCAGTGAGGAACTTCCTAGGGATTTCCAGGAACAATTCAGACTTTTATGAGATTTTCACTTTTATAACTTAACCTCTGGTTAGTATTTGATTTGCATATATTACATATGGAATTGTTTTTAAAAGAAAATATTTAATGGCTAACTTCAAGAACTTCCTATTTAAACTCTCAAACAAGCAAAAATGAAAAGTTATGTCTTAATTTGCCTGGTTTGTTTAGGATATTTCCTTTTCTGATGGCTAATGTACTCTAAAAAAAAAAAAAAAAAAGCAATACTGAGCTATGACACTTGATGGCAAGAACTCTGTACTCCAACCCAAGTGTGTGTGATAGGTTTCTTGCCACAAAAACAACAAACAAAACAGTTTTTTACAAGACCTCAAAATCAAGAATCTAGTGTCATCTCTCCCCATGTGACAGCATGTACATGAAGAATTTGACTCATTAGTAGGCCTTCCATATATAAAAGATGCCAATATTATCCTGTGACCTACACAACCCATTTAAGCTCTCTGAGCCGTTTCTTCATCTTTGAACTGAACAGGAGTAGATACCCAGCCTGGAAGTTACTCAGTGGTAGCCACAGAGTAACCATATGATCCAGCAATTCCACTATAAGGTATAGATACAAAAAAAGTGGAAATATGTTCACATAAAAATCTGTACATGACTGTTAACAGTAATATTATTCATAAAAGCCAAAAAGTAAAAACCACCTAAATGCTCATCAACAGATAAATGAATCAACAAAATGTGGGATATCCACATAATGACATATTATCAGCAATAATAAAAGAATGAAGTACTGATATATACTACAATGTGCATGATGAACCACGAAACCATTATACTAAGTAAAAGAGGCCAGTCACAAAAGACCACATACTGCATGTATAAGACCATTAATATGAAATGTCCAGAATAAGCAAATCCATACAGACACAAAGTACAGTGGTACCTTGTTTTCGAATGTAATCGGTTCCAGAAAACCATTCGAGTTCTGAAATGTTGGAAAACGGAGGGATCAACAGCTGACAGCTAGGCCTCAGAATCTTGCCCTCAGCGGAAGCCGTATGGCATGTTCGACTTCCAAGGTGTGTTCGAAAACCGAAGCATTTACTTCTGGGTTTGCGTATTCAGGATAGCAGTACCCACCGTGCTAGCATGTTGTACCTACCGATGATGGTTACCTCCTTTAATTTTACTCACATCCCACATCTTACATCTCCTGTCATGGCACTAATGTTCGAAATGTTCATCAACACAGACATTCGAAAACTGAGGTACCACTGTAGATTAGCAATTGCAAGTGCTGGGGGAAAGGAAAAATGTTGGAGTGACTTCTAATATGTATGGAATTTATTTCGGGGATTATGAAAATGTTTAGATTGCAGTGATGATGATGGTTGCACAACTCTGTGAATATATTAAAATCACTGAATTGTACATTTTACAAAGGTGAATTTTACGGTATGCGAATGATCTCTCAATAAAGCTGTTATTTAAAAAATTAAATAGGATGAACTAGATGTTCTCTAGTTTCATAGTTTTGTGGAAGAGTTGCCTTGTGCTGAACTTGGAAGGCAAAGAAGGGGAGAAAGGATTGAATTTTATACTCTCCGTATCTGCAACAAGCATTTAGGATATGTTTCTTTAGTGCCATGACAGGAGATGTAAGATGTGGGATGTGAGTAAAATTAAAGGAGGTAACCATCATTGGTAGGTACAACATGCTAGCACGGTGGGTACTGCTATCCTGAATACGCAAACAAGGAAACCCAGGCGTAGAGAGCGCAAGTCATTTTCCCAAAGCCCCATTGTTAGGGAAGATGTGAGGTTAGTAAGGCGGGGAGACAGGGCATGGTAAGAAGATGGGCTAGATGAGGACCCATGTCTGAAGCACACACAGATGTATAGGAAGGACTGGGTCAGTTGCCAGGGTTTGGGATGTGAAGGCTGGTTCAGACTTGGAGACAGTGTAGGTTATGACAACTGAAAAGAGATCGAGAAAATTAACCTGGGTTGCCATATAACAGTGGTTCTCAAGCTTGGCTGCCCTTAGAATCACCCGGGGAAAATTAAAACTCCTAATGCCTAGGCCTTACCTGCAATTATATCAGAAATTCTGGGGTGGAACCCAGGTGATTTCAACCTGTAGCCAAAGATGCCAACCACTGGTTACAGGATGGCCTATTCAAACACAATTAATCCCAACAGCCCCCTATCGTACAGATGAGGAAAGGGACTCAGAGGGGCTCAATGCTATGTACCTGTGAGGTTGTTACTTTTCCTTTCCCAAAACGCCGGCAGTGTTAAGTACATTTACTTGTCTATTAAAAGCAGGGCTTGTTCTTTCTTCTTCCTTTGAGCAGATAAGCTAACACCTTTTAGGTGATCAATAAATGTTCATTCCAAACAAAACAAAGCAAAACCAAAAGCGGGTTGGTAGCTACATTTAATTTTCCAATTCCCTGGGTCCACCTTGCCTTAACAAGCCCGATTAAAACCTCCCACCCAACAAATCTTCTCCCAATTAAAACGTTTGAAACTCCAACTGCTTACCTCCCGGGCTAGGGGAGGCAGGGATAAAAGGGACAAGACAGACAATCGCGCCTCTGGGGAGCTTTCAAGTTGGAACCGAAGACTAATACAGTATAAACAAACGATAAACCTTTGAAGGCTGTGCGAGGATTAAATGGGTAATTGTGCGAAGGCGCGCAGTACTGGGCCAACCACGGGAAGTGCTAGCCAGACGGTAGATGCAACTGCAACACACGATGGCACACAAGCCCCAAAATGCTAAGGGGCCCAACAGGTTCCTAACTGTCTCAGCTTATCCCTTTGCTGGTTTCCTTGAGTCCCGCCACCCTCCAGCAGCCTCACTAGCGGCTGAGGCTCCTCTCGGGCAGACAGAGGTCGGACGCACCCCAACATCCCCAGCCCCGGGACGTCGTGTTAATATTTCCAGAAAGAAGAAAGAGAAGTACGAAGGGCTACAGGTGCACGAGTAGGAAGAGAGGAGTTAACTCCGGAAGAACTAGGAGGCCTAGCTCCTCCTCCCGGCCCAGTCAGTCCGGCTGCGGAACCGGGGGAAAGTCTCCGGGTCCTTTTCACTCCCGGCCGGGCGGGCTTTCGGAGGCCGCTGCCTCCTCCAGCGGTCAGCGGTCAAACCCCGCCCCGGCGCGGCGCGCTGCAGACCCCCAAGCTCAGCGCCCCAGCGCGCCTCCCGCCTCCTACGCGGGCGCCTTACCTTCATCGACCCCACGCGCTGGCCGTTACCCCGACAACGCCGGTCAGGGGGCGGACGCTGCTGCCGTCAAGTAGTGCGGCCGCAAAGCCGCGCGTGTGCGCAGCCGCAGAGCCCGTGGGCACGCCCGCAGGGTCTCGGCGGAGCGCGCCTGCGTACAGCCTGAAGGCGGGGGCGGGGGCCGGGGCGTTCTGTGCGTGCGGCTGGCCCCC